CTTTGGAAATCCGGAGGACTTTCATCCACCTGGGGACTCTGTCAAAAAACGGTCACCCTATCTTCCTTCTCAAAGGATCCAGTTGGGAAATCAATTGCAAAACCATTGCAAAACCAGGCTTCTTCCCTTCGACAGCCTTTCAAACGTTTCTTCCTTCAACCGAGTGACTCGGCCCGACCGAGTGCTGCAATGCCCGTGTGGAAGGCCACCTAGGGGTCGACCGAGTGCTGGGCGTGTTCGTTGGTCGGAGGTCGGCAGGGCCAGGAAATCACTCTTCACCGGAAGAATCTGAAAATGGACCATCAGGTTTCTGTCATGGACCTCTGGTTGACCTGTGACCTGGAGCCTATTTGCAGCTTCCCATTGAAAACTGCTGAGAGGACAAAGATCGTCCTCTGAAGCACTATTCTGGGTCTCCATGTCTGGGAATCCACGGCTGGCTCCTGCGGCTGGCTCCTGCAAACCAGGAAGCAGGTGGGGTTTTCGTTTCAGGTCGATCTCAGATCTCTTTGGTGCGAAGGTTCGCCAGGATTCTTTGGGCGCTGAAATTACTCTTATTCCCTCCCTCTGGTGGGGGGTTGAACAGATTTCTCCTCGGAATCTTGTCATCTTGATTCATTGATTGATGCTGATTGGTTTGACATATTTTGACCCCCTACTCAAAAGCCACCTGAATCTCAACGAAGCTTCCCGACAATTCAGGTCCCAACATGTCCGAACCTAACACCCACGGACGGATCAACAAACTCAAGTCGATAGTGAGGCTTGTTAGGAGGCCTTGTCTATACATTAAAATCATGGTGATTCCTCTTTGGACTGTTGCTCGCTGGGGGATCTCCAATTAGGCACTCCTGACCCCTCCATACTCTATTCAACCATGTCTACCGAGACACTGGGGGTGCATCGTTCGGCAGCAGATAGAAGGTCGCACGCCAAGCACTGCGACATGTACCTCATAGGCACCGACACGAGCTCCGGATGTGGCACATCAATCGACAGGTCTCACATCCCAAGCAACCAATAGGACTGGCATATTTTATATACAGTGGTTTCAGAGTAGAAGACACAAACCCCAAGATGTCCTTTAGATGGGGGTCCATATAGATACCATTAAATACCCTTTGGGGAATTGTGCCATGTACTCTGAAAGCATCGAACTCGTTTGGTTTAGCTCAGAGGTCAATGATGGTCAATGCATACGTAAGTATTCCAGACATTTTAGCCTCAGGGAAGGTGCTGTATTTGTGGTATACATCTGCAAAGATTTCACATTTGGCCCAGGCCCTGGAAATTCCAACACTCGCGATCCATGACTCTGAGAACGGCTGAATTTAGGAAATTCCAACAAACAAGGGTCTTCAAGCAGTCTTCAAGGGTCAAATACAACTCTTTTTGGGTCCTTCTCTCTCCCTTAGTGACCCCTTAGTTTGTGATTCCATGTCGAAGTTGTTCTCATCAATTAGAATACACCTCCATGGCAAATCCGAGAAAACAACATAAACCAGTAGACAAGTCTTCATTGTGGCGGGAATACTACTATGTTGGAGTGTATATGATCAAAAAATGATTATGCAGCTGACGGCTGACTCCCCTTGAACGCGACAAACATTGCCAGGGTGTTCACAAGGCCCCGAATCGCAGAAAGAAGGAGTCAGAAGGAGGTTCCAAATATACGGGACTGGTGGAGAAAAACAAACATTAAGAGTCTCTGCATGTCTACGCCGAAGTGAATCTTGAACGACTTACACTTAGAGGTTTGAGATTCTATATTCAACTTCAACCTCCCATCACGTTGGAACACCAATCTCACTTTAGTGTTTCGAGATGGCCTCGGCCCTGTCCACCCCAAAAACGTAGGGCTTCGCGGCGTAGGGCTTCGACGTGCGCTCTTTCGCTTGCAGGGCCTAGCTGCAAGAGTCTCTGCATCGAGAAATGGATGAGAAAGGCCTATATACCTAGAACCCATTTGACATACTTTTTGATAGGAAAAACACACATATTTTGGATAGTTGATCCTCCAAAAACAGGGGTCATTCAGGTTCTAGGTGTATATATATATATATATATGAATTTGGGTGAATTGAAATTTTGTCATTTTTCTAGAGAGCTCTTCATTCATCTTTGTCGATGCTGCACTTAAGGTTGTGAACAACCATTTCATAGAAAATGGCTTGAGTCCAAGGCCAAAAGAAGCAGGCTCTATACAATGCATCCATGACTGTTCACTGCCCCTTAGACATTGATATGCCCAAGGTCTCTCCCAAGTGCGTTTCATCCTTGAAAGCTGGCTCTAGAAAATGGTTTGGTTTGCTTCTGATCTCTGCCACACTCATCATCAACACCATCCAAACTCATGCAAATATGTCAGACAAATATTATCTATTAAAACATAGCCCCTTATAACATGGTTAACCCTACCCATTTCCTAGAGGAAATCCTAAGGGGATAAATTTGGAGAGCCCAGCCAAACCTACTTACGTACCCTAATTCGGGGTCTGCGTAGTCAAATACAATCAAATACACGTGCCCAACATCCATTAGATATTCACAAACTCGACCTTACCAGTACCAATCCAAATTGTTCTGTTCTGTTTTGACCCACAATCGACATCTTGCTGATAAATCCAACAGCTCTGCTTAAGTAGGACAGGTCTGCTTGGCTAAACTAGCCATTGAAGCATCAATCATTATATATAATACCGCAAGCCTAAGCCAAGGTCTTCTTTCGATTGCACTTTCACTTAATTAGTGACGTGGAATTCCAATTGCTTCAAGACTGGCAAGGCAATGGAGATCAGTTGAGATCTCCCTAAACACACGCTGCTGCACGTGGGTCCAAACCAGTGGATGTGTTGGTCGGTCGATGACCAAGAGCCAATCAACAAGGCTTGTCACTGACTTGATCTACACTTCCCAACCATTCCGAGATCTTCAGGGCAGCTTGTTGGTTTGTTGCTTGTGGTAGAAACCACAAACTTTTGCTTCGGCACTGTGTGGTAGTTATCGTATGTTATCGTTGGTGAGTTTTTAGCGCATTGTGTTTATTTTTGCTCCCTCATCCGACACTTCCTGTTTTGTCATGCTAGTGCTGCCGTTTGTTGTGGGTCGGTGGGGGGGCCAAGTGATGACGTTTGTTGTGTGTGCCAACAACATGATGTTGCTTCGGGGAAGTTGCTTCGGGTTGTGGTGAGTGGGTGGTTCTGTGCCTGCTTCTGTACTATACATATCTATACATAAGTCAATATAAATAAACTATGTGAGTGATTCGAGGAGGGGTACACAATGTCCCCAGGCAACCCCTTCACGTTAAGAGATTTAAACAGCATTTATGTTCTCAATGGCTTGCGTGAATGACCCGGAACACAAAGCAACACTTGGGCCACTTGGGAAGACCATAGGTTCGTTTTAGCTTCTCATGGAGTCCTGAAGAAGGTTCACTTGCTGAAAGTTTCATTAGTGAACGTAGGAGTAGATTATTACATAGGACTCGATGTGCGAGACCTTTTCCGGGGACATCCACTCTTTGATCAGTTGGAAGTATGAACCTTGGCTTAACTAAGGCATTCATTCACTCTTTCTACAAAGTATCCGGAATTGACTTTGCGACTTGGATGTATGTGGTCACTTGGACACCAATCAACAAAGGAACTAACACGGTCGCTAACGCCAACGTGACCTCAGTATTCTTCAGCGTTGCCCAAACTCATTGTTGGGAAAGAGATTGGAAAAACTAAACTTGAGGGGTGCGTATTTCTATAGACCCTAGGGCTCCAACTACCTCCTGAGATGGTGGTTGGGGTGGGTTTGGAGGGGTCTAACTACCTTCATGAGGATGTGGATCAGGTCATTTCCTCCCCCACGGATGCTGCGGCCTGTCTCCAAGGCCTGGCGCCACGCCGTTGTTGGCAGTCTCCACGTGCCCCACGTGCCGCCGCACTGGCGGTCTCCGTCCGGTCCGCGCCGTAAAGTGGCGTGTAAAGCTTGAAGCGTCAAGAACCTGTGGTGACTTGGCTGGTTGAAAGCTTGTATACTACTGAGAAAACGCAACAAATATATATATATACACGGTATATATATAATATATATATATATACATGTACATTCTCATAGACCCGAATTCTTGGTACCAATTGGCCTTTCTTTTGAGGGGTCAGTGCCAGCTTTTAGCTCTTGAAAAGTGTATCCCTGGCCTGTATCTCTTACATCTGCACATGGTCAGCCACTGGAAGAACTATACATATATATATATATGATTATATATATATATATAACTGTACAAGACTATATTTCTGCTGTCACGTCAATCTGCACATTGTGGCACTCCTTTTGCCCAAGATCCAATGATTCATTCAACAGTGCCATGCCCAGTCACTGATCCTGTAAAAAAGAGCTGCGGGACGGCGACAAAAACTTGACTCTGTTTCAACCCCACAGTTCGTTTGCGCGTGTGTGCTGCTGATCGATAACGAAAAATCAACATCTCAATGGATCAAACTTGTACATGGGCCATCACAATTACTGTTCATGGAGCAGTTCCTCTGCACCGCCTCAAATGCTCATGGGATTATGTCATGGATCAACTGATACACCACAGGGTAGTATCGTACTTCCGAGGTCATCATGTTGCCTGTGATATCTCCGAACATCTCCGAACTTTCTGAAGGAGTGTGACTCCGAACTCTTGCCACTCTTGTGACTCGTCACTGCCAGTGACTTCCTTCCCGTGGTTTGACACTAGCAGAACATCAAGCTCCCTCAGAGGCTGGTTGACTAAAAAAGAACATCCAAACACATGAAAGCAAAGGCTGTTGAACGACAAATGATTTGGAAGCACATGTCAATGCTCTGAAAAGCAATCACATGATGTGAAATGAGCAAAACCATCCAAGGAACTGTAGCAAAGAAGGGAAATAGACCCAAACCCATTGGTGGTCCCCCTACTAAATTACGCACTCATTTAGCAGTGCGCAGTGCCTTGGTCAATCGCGATCCCCCCTTGCCTGAAGTGGGAGGAAGCCCCATCCGCTGAGAAGCAAAGGACCTGCAGCGATAGCACAGGGCGGCTGGTGAATCATGAATGTCGTAAAGAAATGAGCTGGAGCTATCATTTGGATCTAAAACTCAAATCTAAGCTTCCCTTAAGCCTTACTTGGTGCATCCCTATGAAATCAAACGCATGTGTATCTAAATATGTACACATATATATATATATAAGCGCACAGGACGTAAGTACACTTGTATGTATTTATACATATATAGAGAGAGAACTAAGATACTGGTACGCATGTACATGTATTGTCAACCGCCGCTTTGGGTTCGTATAGCAGTACTCCACTCGCGCTACGTACGTGCAATGCCAAAGGAGGCCAAGAACCTGCGGGAAACCTGGAGCAAATACTGTACCCCCTCCAAAAAGACTTCATAGAACCCATGCAACAACCACGTATATACAGTATGTCCTCTGTGCTGGACTTCACACTGGTTGGGAATAATGGTATTACTATTATACAGTAGGTACAAAAGAATGACTTGAACAGTAAATATATGAAAGTCTCAACTTTGCAAACAGCTGCTAGTTGGGTATGGAAGTATGATGTGCTTGGGTACAAATACATGAACACCAACAGTTTGCTTGAAGCTGCCAGTTCAAGCAACAATTAAGCTATCCCGCCAAGGTTCTACTCTTAGTGAAAAAGTATTCATCCAGCATAGGAATGGTCCGCGGACAAATTCCTGGAACCTCTGGCAATAAAAACAGTCACTGTGAGGTCAAGTGGCTCCATCCAAGCACTCCAAGGACTGGTAGTGACCTCACGATGTGTTCGAAAGCAAAAGCAGGTATCCGGTATCCTGCACAGAGACTTCATCATTAACCCACCTGGTCGTTCCACATTTTCTCTCGACCAATACACCTTCTCAAAGCGATTTCCCCTCTACAAAGGTGCCATTGTCATTGTTGTTGCTGCTGTTGCTGCTGGTGCTGTTGCTGCTGGTGTTGTTGTTGTTGTTGTTGTTGCTGCTGCTGTTGTTGTTTTAAGTTCCCCCGGCCCCCCGCCAAAAAACACATACAACAAGTGTCCTGCAGAAGCACAAGATACGCCTGTTGGAAGCTGGAAGAACTTGCGTTCTTGGTACCGACTGTTGGCCTACGGGTATCAAACGTTCTGGCAGAAGAACGCCCAGGGCGTCCCACCGAAAAATGCTGCCAGGGAAGAGAGGAGCGCGGCCTGAGCGGAAGTGAGGTTTCAGAATCCAAAGATATTCACACCTATCATGAATGGTCTACCATTGGTATGTGTTGTTCTATCAGTTGGTTTTCCAAAAAGGTCTACAGGTATGCAGAAAACACATAGTTTACAGTTTACAAATGGTCCGATTTTCCGCATCTCTGGTTCAACACGAACATCCAGTAACTCACATTCGGTGCTGGTATACTTCTGGCTCTTCAACAAGGGAAAGTGTATGATGTTTGTTTGTTTTTTTTTAATGGGGATGTGAGACCAACTCAAAGTTTCTGAGTTGTACATGGTGCCGATCCGTTCGGCAACAAATAACACCGAACGCATCACACCATACCAGACCTAATCTCAAACATACATGGCTGGCAGTTGTGGTATCTCACATAATGCTAACTGGTTGGTCCATTGGTCCATCACGTCCGGCCCAGCACCAACGAACGTGCGTCTTCGCTCTGTCGGGGGTGCCAAGCTCGGCGCCCGGGGTGCGAACATCCACCGAGCTCTGGAACATGGAACTGATGTGGTTTGTGCTCTGAGCCCTGGCAACACATCCGAAACAAAAACAAAAACTCCGAAACACCCCAAACCGAAGGAATGTTCATCCACCCCAAAAGAACGAAGTCCACGTGCTTCGCCACGTGCGAAGCACGCGTGCTTTTTTCCGCGGCTCGTCGTCTGGGCGTGGCGCCATGGGGCGCTGGGTCGAAGAGACCTTGCGCGGCACTGAGGCGTGGCACTGACTGGGGCGCGGCACTGAGGCCTCAGGTTTCCAGCCTTTCAAACATATTCAAACACGATTCAAATCAACCCAAGCTTGAATTAGTCTTAGTTTTTGGAGAGGTGTCAAGGAAAGCGGTGTTCTATATTTTGTTTAAAGAGGACATTGATATCTATTCACCATGTTTCGTGTATCTTGGATGGTCTTGCTACATGCCGGGCATGGATTGGATATGAAATGTCAGGAACAATCTCTCCTTGGGGTTCTGTCAGTGGGATCTCCATCTCACAAACCAACTTGCCAGCTTGTCGCTATCCTGGCAAGACTAAGACACGGAAGAATAAATTATGCAATGGGGCCAAGATTCTGTTACCAAGAGGCCAAGCCAACAGCCAAAAAAACACCCGTAGGGTCCATACATGTCCATACCAATTCGACCGGAGGTCACATATGGCCACATGGTGCTTTCCACTCATAGATTCAAAACACAGACTCATGGAATCGCACATGCAACATCTTTGGAGAGAGTTCACCAAGAATTGTTTGACATGTGACTCTCCATCTAACAACTCACCTGAGAGCATTCTGAAAGAACATACACAGTGTCAAGAACAACGAGTATATAATATGCTCAGTCATCGTGCAGTCGTCCCGGGCCATCTTTTCCAGCTTTATCTGATTGGGTAGGAAATATGATATACATACTTATTGTATATAACAATATCGATAATATGGGAACATGAGCTTGCGGACACAAAGTGACGCCCCTCATGGACACACTGGTTGGGGATGGTAAACATATGGACATCTGGTAACATGAGCAGCACAAAGCAGTTCGATGCTAATTCTATGGGAGGCCATTGCTATGGCTATTAGGTTGGAGGGCAAACAAATACAAAACAAAACAAGCAGTTCGATACCAGTTCTAGGCACCTCGTGTTGGTTCTCCTTCAAGGAGCACACGTGGACTGCCATCAACAGCCAGGCCTCAATGCGGCGCTCAACGCGCGGAAGCCCACTGTAAAGGCCTGTTTCGAATCCCAAACGACCTCTGGTTTGCAAAGGAACCCTCGAGAAATCTCGAGATCGTAAATAACTCAATCGCTGGACTCAATCGCTATGTCATGTATAGAATAGAATGTGTTTTTTTTTGTTTACTTCTTTCTCTCAGACAGGTGGAAGACGTCATTTCTCCAAACACATGGACTTCCACTGGTGTGGTTTGGGGGATCGTCAGCAAACATTAAGTTCTTGTTGTCTAAAGAGAAGGATGACACTATAGATGAACCTGAGCTTCCACAGGACTCCATTCAAGTACAAGGTGCCGCGTGCCTACAACTCTGGTCTTAGGTCGATGAGGTTTTAGTACTTCTTCTCTGAGCACTTGACACTGACAGTCTTTCTGGCGACATTACAAACAAAGACTATTGGGACTGTTGCGTTTTCAAAACGACCTGGTTGTGGCTAGTGAGGCTAGTGCGGTGCATCGGGATTTTCGGGGCAGCAATCAGTGTGAAAAGGATTGACAAGGCATCCTAGTGCATCCATGATCCATCAGGAAAGGTTCATCCTAGTAGGGAGAACCCCCAAGTAACTCTATTAGAGGAGGACATGTAGAGGAATCCCTTAAACCTTTGTCTCGAACAACACACTTAACCTGGTCTCCCAAGGTCTCCGTGTGAGACTACTTCGATCCATCTCCAAGGATGCAAACGTGACAGTCACGGCCAAAAACATGACCGTCGTTGGACCACACGGTTTTCCCATCGCCCAGCTCCGATACTCCTCGGCGGCCGGGCCAGCGTGGGTAAGCCACCTGCGAGACGAGAGGAAACGACGTTTTTGGTTCGTCCATGTGGATTTTCTTTGTTGGAACCTTACAGGAGAGGATGAACCAAATATTGAACAACTTGACTTGTACGTATAGTATCTTCAGTTGAGTTGAAACGACTAGACGATATGCTGCATCAAGGTGCATGTACCGTCAGGAAAGAGTTCCGCAACAGCGATATCTCGGCAAACCGGAAAAAACAAGAACTGACAGATCTTACAGACCATGTGCAAACATAATGGCGTCAAGTTGAACAAATGCGCATGAGTTTGCACCTATATGTACAATACTAATGAATCCCATGAAAAGCCTAGGTCTATCTTCGAGTCCAAGTCGGGGACACATCTTTGGTGGACGACCAACGAGCATGATTTGCTTTGCACCTCTGGGATGTGTCGTGCGACACGCTCAACCCGCTTCTGTGCCTTCCTTGGTGCGCGGGATTTGTCGCTGCTTCAACCACCTGTCTGCGCTCCACGCGCAGCAGCCAACGGCCAAGGTTTGAAGATCCGGCAGGTTGTGAAGTGATTTTGGTGAAGTCGTTGGTTGAATGCCTATATATACCCATCCCTTTCAATCCGCCAACATGGTGGAGTTGAGCATATTGTCTTGTTGTTGGGTGGTTCAACTGGGCGGCGTTGACATACAAACACATGTGGACTAGACTGAAACACATTCTAAAAGCTGAAGGCCCTGAATGCTTTATTGTAAATTCCAAGCAAGGGACAATCCACAACGATATCCTGTAACATGCATTTAAACATGTAGAATCATGTGATTTTTCCATGTGACTGTGGGGTAGTTTCGGAGATCCATCGACCTGGATCAGCTGGATCGGCCTGGATCACCTGGATGTCCACTGGCTCTGTCAGACTCACCCTAGCCGCTCAAGAAGTTGGTATCCTCCATGGGAAGCTATGATAGAAGCATAGTATACACTCATACCATACCCACCGAGTGCACCTTGAAAGTAGTAGGTTGAACCAGCTAGTAGGCGAAACCCCAAAACTAGTCTTCGAAAGATTCGGTACTACTATATCTTATGCATGCTTACGCAAATACTTTATACTGTTGCTTGGGATCAATGCACCCCCTGGCGGTCTTCCGAAGACTGCACCTGACTGGTCAACAGCACTGACAAACACCACCCGAACCACTTGCCCCAACAACGTTGCTTCCACACATGTCATGGCCAGTCTTGGTGGCCACGGCCGGCCGGCAGCTCCACCATGTTCTCCCTGTCCCTCCGGTCCCTCCGGAACGGGGCACCACTTCACACAGCGCAAGGTCAACGTCACCAGCGGCGCCACCGGCGGTGGCGGCTCGGTGGGCCGTGGAGCCGCCCCCACGCGCTGGAACCTGGTCGGAACCAGAGGCGCGGAGGAATCCAGAGGCGCTGGTGATACCAACTGAAGCGAACGATGTATGCGAAAGCAAATGGAAGCAATGCAAATGAATGCAAGCGAAGTTCTATTATGTTCTAGTGCTTCTCATGTCTCTGTAAACACTAGTATGAGGAACTGTTTGATCAGGAGCTTGTCTGAATCTTGGGAGAGTGCTTCTATTTGATGGTGGGTTTTTAGGTTGCGTGTCAATGGTGTTCACAGTTTTCACGGCAACCGCGCTGGGCATGGGATGTGTCTGTTTCCATGGATTTGCGCGTTGGAGAGGCATACATTTTTTGGTATGTTTTGGTTTAATGACAGAATTCGTGATTGGGAATCGTCTCAACAACAGCACTCCACACATAGCCTCCTCCACCTGTTACTGTGTGTGTGACCCAGCGACTTGCAATTCAGATAAGTTCGGATAAAATGCCATCGGCGATCACCGGGCCACCCTGCCATTTAGGATCCCTTTTGAGTATGTGACGACATCATCATACAAACATTACAAACTTCGTGCGAAAGGCGAAGCAATCCACTAAATGGCCCAGGGTCATGTCGCCAGGTCAATTTGAGGATGGGAGTCACGTTCGCCTAGAAATATCACAAAACCCAGCACCTTCTGAAGAAAACACACATGATACGCAGGTTGAATGGACGAATGGCCTGGGTAGTCAATGCATGGACTTGTTTGGTCTCCTACATGATGTGGTTCTGTAGTCGGCGTATGTGGTTCCGTAGGTCATCGTAGGTCGCATGTTGGTCGCCACCTGAGCACCCCTGCCATCTCACGTGATCCAAGGGTCGGATTTGATCCACAGAGACATCCACCGTGCAGGTTCCGACGTGGTCTGCGCAGAGCAACCGAACGCTCCGTTCCGGCGGAAGGTCCACGGAAGGGAACGGCGTCCGTTTGGTCCACCGTGTGCTGAAGGACCTGGCTGTCTCGATGGATTGAAAGGTGGGTGGAGAAAACCAAGGAAGCGGGAGGGCACACACTCCCTCTTCTCTAAGACTATTCTCCTTTTGACTGAAGGGGTGGTGCTGGAAATCTCTTCTTCGGATTTCTCGACAGAAAATCCGATCTCCCACATTCTCATCAACCCCGGTACAGCATTGGCTTGTAGCCCGCGTCATTTGTCAAACATGGAAGACATGTTCTGTTGAACATCGGAGATAAATGGCAACACAATCTGATGCAACACCATAGCATCAAGTGACCTGAGGAGTATCACAGTCTCCCTTAAGACTCATCCCACCGCATTCCACCGCGGTCCCTGTTTCCCTCGACTCTCCCATGTTTCCCACTCTCCGGCCTCGTGGGCCACAGGTCACCCCTGGGCGGTTTCGGATCGGCTCGGACGGCAGGCGAAGCGCCTGGCGAAGCGCCTGAAGTACGACCTCTTTGAATCGGGGACGGACTGAAACTCTTTTGGACACCAAAAGGGGACAGAATTTGTGACACCGTCATGCACGGAAAAATGATGAACAACAATACCCTTCAAACAACCAAATTAAAATGCAACATCTTACATCAACAACGCGTGCCTTTTGGACGCCTGAAACTTAGAATGCTTCAACATGAGATATGGCAAACTCGATTGAGGAGCAGTTTTGCTTGGACATCCACAGGCGTTGGCTCTCAAGTCTTGGTTCAAAACCCTGTAAATTGTGTGTTTTGAGTCAACGCACTGGTCTCCAACATTCAAGATGGAACATGGTTCTTGAAGGAACAAGTCCAAATGGTCCGGTCGAAGTCATCCAAGTGGTCCGGTCGAAGTGTCCTTGGGTGTACAAGCACCCGACGCCAAGCAACATCTTCCTCTCCTCCGCTCAATGCTGGGCGTCGGGCTTAGGATGGGCACGCGGGCGTCGTCGATGAGCTCCTGCAGTGAAGACGCTGACCCGGTCAGAGACCCACGAAACAGCTCCCCGCAGTCAGTTCTAAAAGCAAAACTGTTCTCAGAATTGTCCAAACTTGGTAACTGTGAAAGTCAGGTCCAATTGTTCATCCATGTACAGTAAATGTATTGTCTATTTGGTGCAAATGCACATTCCAACCAGCAAGTCCAAATGTTTGGATTTGTGAACACAATCCCTACGTGGCAAATATATTCGGACAAGCATGCTCTGCACTGCAAGTATGATCGATAGGACCAGGAAGACGTGCACCACGAAAATCGCCAAACTTGGCGAAATGAAGCCTAGTAGCTTCTTGCTCCTAGAAGCGATGCCCTTTGTTCCTAGTAACTAGTAGCTTCTTGTTCCTAGTAATAATGCCAGAAGCTACTAGTAGCTTCTTGCTCCTAGTCTGTGCTGAGATCAAACTCTTTAGAGCCTCCCTCCCACCCAGTCTTGGCGCATCAATCAGCACACATGCTGCGAGAGTCTGCAAGTCTGCATGCATGGGCGAGAGCCAATTGATTGATCTGGCCGGGGAAAGTCCCAAAATCTGACACCTGATTCTCCGAACGCGGCAAAAGTTCGATGGCCAATTATCAATTTTAGATGTCAGGTGTCGCTAAGGATTCAGGCCTTCAAGGATGAGGGTTTCTTACAACTAATATATGAAGCTACTGTATAACATCCTTGACTTCAACATAAACTCCCTCATCAACAAAACACAAACATGAACCCGTATAAGCGGCATGAATCGAATAGAGTTTCACTTCGAAAAGGCACGTGGTCGGCAAGGTTTAGCCAGGTGAGTGCGACGGTTTCTGTGCTTCCAGCCCGTTTTCTATCAAATTAAAACAGTTTTTGGCTATTTAAGGATGTACTAGTAGCAAGAAGCTAGTAGGTTGGAGGCCATCGCTAGTAGGTTGGAGGCCATTACTACCAGTAGCAAGAAGCTAGTAGGTTGGAGGCCATTGCTACTAGTAAGAAGAAGCTACTAGTTCACCTTTTTATTGTGTTCAACATCTGACAATATAATGACATATAGGGATTTTCCAGTGCGTGCTTTATATAAGATTTGGTCTGAAATGGCTCGAACACGTGAATATGGTGAATCTACTCCAGGGTTATATAGGTTAAGAATATATATATATGCAGGTCTGCGCAACCAACGTTTGTCTCACACACACACATTCATTGCTCGCGCTCGTTCATCTTCACCTCCGGCTGTTCGTTTGTTGTAGCTTGCCGCTGTGGTTCTTTACGTGTCCACAGCCACTGGCTTCACGGAAATTGATTTATAAGTTATATAAGCCACCCTGCATCAAAAAACAAATGTACGTACAAGCGGTACTCATACTTTGAGCTTCCTTCCCCCCAAAGCAAATCTATAATCTATAATTACTAATAGACAACAAAACAACACATGAAAATCCGTTTGACGACCAAAAAAACAACACAACAGTCACAACAACACATGAAAAGACTGTTTGGACCCCAAGCAGTTCACTTACATCTTGCTAATGTCCAGGTGTTTTTGTCCATCTGTCCCAAGGAGTCCAGCAGTTCCCCGGCTCAGACTAGCTCACTCAGGCTCCATTCCCTGGGTGCGTGGCTCCATTCCAGCGCCGAAGGTGAGAAGGGGTTGGAGAAGGGGGTTAAACGGTCACCCCCCGATGAACATGCTTTTTGGCGAACGTCTTTGAACATCCCGCTTGAGTCGAATGTCCGAAGAAGAATCTGGGGATGTTGGGAACTGGCTGACGACAAACTCTGAGTAAATACATGGTTCAAGCAGGGTGACATCTATTGACTTGCTGTTTCGTCATGAACGGACATCTGACCGGAATTGGCTGACGACTGAACAAGCTAGGAGATTCTCGTGAGTGCAACAATAATGAACAAAGCTACGAATCAGTTGAAAGTGCCCTCTGGCCATAATTCATAAGGTGTACAAAACATGCTGTCACTTGTAGCAAAAACGACATCATTGGTTGACAGTCGATCAACAAACTCAGAAGTACTTGGTCAACCAGGCAATTAAAAGTATCCAACCAAAAAAAGATAAATATATATATATATATTGATGACCTCACATTGTACTCACAAACTTTTCAAAAGCAAAGTTGAACAAAACGCTAATAATAGGTAACAAAAATGAGTTCCATGCGTCTGACAGTGTTGAATTCCAATTGAATTGTAGATGTCTTTCTACTGTAAATAATTCAGTGCCGTCCCACCTGGGTTCTATCTATGTGTGTTTCCCACCTGACACCTAGGCCCAGGACCAGTCGACCATTGCTCCCCGCAATGGATGCTGCAGCGTCATGGGGCAAATTCCTCCAAGAAACTAACCGAAGATGCAGCATACCAACATGGCCAGTTCTGCCCCTAAAGCAATCGCATATATATATATATATGTAACTGTATGAGAACCATCGTTGCAACGTGCGATCGGTCCAGGAAATGAGAACAAACAGCCGGAAATGTCACTGGAAACCTCCAAACTGTTTCTGGCTGAAGAATGGAACAAAAGAACATGAAAGAACCCATCTCTTAAAATGTTGATTGGAGGTTTCTGCCACAGTTTTAGCAGCATGTGAGCATGGGCAACATGTTTTTGGTCCCTTTTGGTCTCAAGCACAAATCCTTGAGTCGAGGCCTTGAGGGTCAGTTTGTGTAAAAAACTTGTGTTCCCTAAATAGCTTTTTGTTTCTACTAGTAAGGCACCTGTTACTACTAGCGTGGCACTTGTTACTAGTAGCGTGGCACCTGTTACTACTCTACATGGCCAGTACTGAATCAATGTCTCGGATGAAAGCCCTGGAAATGAGCTTGACATAGCTTGGCCTGGTGCGAACACGCTGTGTTCACCAAAGGTCGCCTTCTTCACGAAAAGCGGTCAGAGCGGTCGCGGGTGCGAACGCGTCTGCCTCACCCCGAAGGAGCCCGCATGGCCGCATAAAAGGACTGTACCTGAAGGCTGGAGCGTTGGGGAACTGAAGGCTGTCCGGCAGGTTGTGCGTGGCGCCAGGTTGATATTCATTGGTTGGTTCAAGACTGACCGTTACTAACCACAACAAGTAGGTCAAGGAGACCATCCTGAAGCAGTGTTTTCCAAAATAGCCGCGAAACGATTCATCGTGATCTCGTCCTGCGCGATGCCACATGGAAATGGGCCAAGGATGGGGTCGCTTCAACCCACAATGCTGCTTTACAATTGCCTTGCGCACGACTAGTATATTACATGGTAGTGAACAACTTAGGCCACAGCTTAAATCAAACAAACCACCCTAAACACCGTCCATAGTTGGGCACAAATCAACTCATCTCCCTTCCACAACGAACCTCATAGGCGAAACACCACACCCCCATGAGCAAATTCCCCAAAAAACCTCCCAAATGAACAAATCATAATTAATTCTCCATGTGGGCGTCACACCTCTTCATTCGGGCGCCCATCTCTCTCGCTGTCCACCCCAAGAGCCACGGACGATGTTCTCAGTCAAAGCTTCTCTCGCCTCAGGCTCTGGAGCAAAGGCCGCCACATGCCCATCGGAGCTGCGGGCAGGTAGGCCTCTTCGTTCTCGGGAAACACACAAACACACGCAAAGCAAGGAACAAAGCAAAGTAGACGCAACCAAAATGATGAAACATGATGAAACCATTGTCTGTATCTCTTGTTGGATTTTTGCATCACTTTACTGCTCGTTTTTCTGAGGCGGGACGACTGCTTTTGAACGACAGCTATGGCAATATGAGTTAAGGTTCCAAACAATTTGCATAGAAATAGGAGATTTGTTTTAACTTGTTTCCGGGACATTCTCGCGCAAATATATTCTAGTGGGTTCTTCACTTGGAATCATAAACATGATAGAGCTTGTGAGCTTTGCATGAGAGTCCAACATAGAATGGACCTGGATCAGGATCCTATCTAGCAGGACTGAAAATGTGTCCTATGTTGAGTACTGCAATAAACACCCCACCATACGCCATCTTACCCACCTGAAAATCTCCATGTATGCTAAAAGCAAAATAATATTGCCAACGGTGTTTCCAGATTTCAGTCATCCCAGAGCATTCACTCTGTAGGTCTGAGTCCTCTAGCAAACACCATCACTGCCGACTGCCGGCTGGTGTATGTCCAATGCTGGCGACGGGATGTTTTCAATGATAGGAAATCCAACACCTATAGGCGAATCACAGGGCGAGGAATTGAACAACGTATACATGCAACTACAGTATAGCTATGCTTGTAGGCGACTATAGCTTGTTATGAAGGATATATTCTTGGTCCAGGATAACTGTTGATAGTCTCTGTCCATCCCAGAAAACTATACTACTATGTTACTATATAATATATTAATATATTTAAGATAGTACCAAATATAGTATCAGTATTGAAAGGCCCCAGCTATGACTTCTCCCTCAACCGTTCGCTACCGCAACCACTGGCCGCCACACCAATGATTACCTCACGGACTCACGGACCATCTTCAGTTCGCTACGACCCCCCACTTGCCGAAGCCGGCGAAGCCTTTGAACGAATCGATGTTTGGCGGGTCAGCCCCCACAAATACCAGAGATACCAAAGTCTCTTCTCCATTCCCTTAGGTCCGTACCACGGCACAAGTCAGTGTCACCGATGCCCCGCGGCCTTCGATCCACAGGTCTTTCGCACGCCGGCACCGTGACAGGGTGACGTAGGCCTGGCGGTGCGTCGGTCGTGGGTCCGGCACCGCACGACTTGGTGGCACGGTTTACTGGGTCCTTGGCACCGTTGGCACACGACCAAGGGTTGTTTGAGTGGTCTGTTTGGTTCATTGGCATATATATATATACACACAATATTACATTGCTTAAAAAAGAAACACATACATATATATATATATTTATAGTCTAGTATATGTATAGTATATATACGATATATAGTCGCAATATCCCTACCCAGTCTGGAACGTGTACATCCTGACTTCTGCAATTTATGTTTGTTGCATAAAACTGTGTGACTGTGCTCAAGTTGGAAAACCACCACCTGCTACAGGGAATATGCTGAAAATACCGACCGGTCATCGACCGGTCAATCTACAGTAATTGGCCTCACATCACATGAAACGACAACCCCAGCGGGATCATTGGACCATCCGATCGCTCCATTGACGATCGCTCCATTCATCTCGTTGTACAATAAGAGGTCGCGATGAGTCGAACACGTAACAAGGAACAAAACGAGTTGATTAAGGATCCTCAATGAGTATCAACGATCAGCTCCAGCTCCGCGTGTCAATTCCTTTGTGTTTCAATCCGAAAGCATGTGGGGTAACAGGTCAGTTTGCTCAAGACTTCCAAGTGCCCAAACTCGTTGATCAACATGAACAACACCAAGCGGACTAAACACGTGATGTGGACATGTGATGGGCTAAACATCCCAAAACAAATCCCAACATATCCCAAATTGGTCATGTCTGAAGGCATAGTTGGTCACTCAAGACAAACCATGTATGCCTGAGCCACCGCCTTCCTTTCAAAAAACCAAGTGTCTTATCCTTTTTTTGGAGGGGTGACTTCAAATCCCCCTAACTTTGGATGGGTCAAAACCTGGATCCCCGGTCCACAGCCACTTCCGTCCTACAACTCTCCCCGCACTTCGCGGCCCGGATTTGGGCCCCAGAGCCCGCCGCCGCGCCCCTCCGCCGCGTCACCTGCCCGGGCGAGAAGAGCCCCCGCAGCATGGCCACAGCACCGGTCTCCAGCGAGGCGCCCTGCGCGCGATGAGCGGTCAAGGCCCAACCTTGGGAGGCGCCCGAGGCACCCGGCGTTTGTCCGAGAAGACACGGGAGGATCGGACCATCTGTGAATTGGTCCGTCCCGGTCCAAACCATCTGTATATCATCTGTTCATGAGGCTACTTATACTTATTATGCTACTGTTACTTTACAAGGGGGTGGTGTATCTTGTTGTAATTGAACATCGATTCAAAACATCCCACACCATTAAAGGGCTGTACTTCTGGGGAGGATGTCTTGGGCATCATCAACAATCTTCCATGACAGCAGGAGTTGTTCAGCTTGGTGGGCTAAACTTTCCTATTTCTAGGGAGGTTTGGAACAGGACCTGGATTGCCTAAGCCCATGCTATCTCAAACATTCTATCCTATCGCCTTCCTCAGCTATTTCAATGGCCCATGTCCAGTTGAATATGCAATCCGCTTTGTTTGCCTGGGTGCAACGGGTGTGCCTGCCTTTGTTCCCCTATTCTCCTTGGCACGATACAAACACACAAACTCGCATGAACTCTCAGACTCGGCATTGGATTGTGGAGAAATATATATATATACCCATAGCCATAGTCTTCCACTGGTCACTTTCAGGATATTCTACTTTCCGGACGGAAAACTGGGAAGACGGACACGGAATATCACTTTTTACAATGAATCCGAATCCTTCAGATCATGGTTTAAGAGAACTCAGTACCAGCACGCTGTGCATTCAATCATGTGTCCCAAAAAACATATGTGGGGTGTGGCGTTTGATGTGGATCTCATCTGGATCTCCCTCGCCCTGCGCCCCTTTTTCTTCAGACGACCGGGTCCCCTTTCGATCCCTCAGAGGTCCCCCGGCCCAAACGGAGAGGCAACTGCACTAGACCTGGAAAGCAGCCGCAGCGACACGCTGGTACATGCTGCACGCAAATGGGATAGGTTTGAAATTCGATACATTTGGGAGACTCCAAGAGACTACTGATGATCAGATGTCCAGCTAACCTGCCATGCAGGCACGGCAAAATGGAGCAATACTGATAGCCTGATAGCATGTGATAACCACTGGAGGATTTTCATGTTGGCCAGAAAAGGAATGTGATGAAGCGAGCGCTGCTCACTCTGAGCAGATCATCACGCAGTCTTGAGGCATCCACCCACCAGCGTTACTGCAAAGTGGCTGCAGGCTCAAGTCAAGGGTTCAGAAGAGGTTCAGTAAAGGGCATCATGAAGTTCAGTTCAGAAGAAGGCCCACTCTAAGTTCATCAGGTCCAGAATTCAATAATATAGGTATCACAATGGCTTTGCATGACAATGGATCTGAACAAATCTGGATTGCACGATGATCAGGTCGCGACCTGATGGGTTCACAATGCTCTGTTCGATGGAGCTTGCTTGGGCTCACTGTAAACTGTCCCAGTGCCAGTGGATCCCAAATTCCAGGAATCAGACTCTTCCGGGAAACAACGAGCGTTCTGGCATGTTCTGGCTATAGGTTTTCAGTCTTCGGATTCAGTGGCTGCCACGGCAACCTCAACACGCAAGGGCCAAGGGCCATGTTGTTTCTCCAAAGGCCCAACCTCACAGGGGGCACTGCGTTGACTAGTTAATGTAGTCTCTTGATTTATAAACTCCCCCCCCTCAACAACCAGGGCCTCCAATATAATGTATAAGAAAACTAATCAAAGGACCAAAATGAAAAGAATCATTATTAAAATCTTCTTGGTCTTCTCTGGCAATATTAAAAATAAAAGGGAATCAATGAAATCTCAAATTGAAGACATTGGGAATACTAAAGTAAAAGGAAATCAATAAAGTGGAAATGGAATTCTCAATATTTTAATGGAAATCTCAATCCAAAGACCTTGAAAAGCATCCAATCTCAATGGAAATCTTCAACTTTTCAAGAGCTTAGGTAAGTAAAGCAAAGCAAAAGGAAAAGAAAGGGAATGAATACAAGTTTACTTAAAGAAAAATATGTTTTAAGCCTGAAATCCCTAGACATTATTCTAGGGCCCCCCCTAAATAATGTCAGAAAGCTGCTTGCTGGACTACCCCCTTTGCTTGAATGATTTTGTTGTTTTTCAATATTTTTGAATAAGGGATTTTGTAAAGAACGTGCGCACTGACTTTTGGAAACTTTTGGAAAGCTTAAAGACTAAAGAGCTTAGGTAAGTAAAGCAAATCAAAAGGAAAAGAAAGGGAATGAATACAAGTTTACTTAAAGCAACATATGTTTTAAGCTTGAAATCTCTAGACACTATTCTACAAACTCAAACGGGAAAAAGTAAACTATAACAATAAAACGTATTTCACTACAACTACCCCTCAAAAAGACATTATTCTTGGGGCCTTTATAAATCTGTGCAGGAAAAAAACAGTCATTATTCTAGGGGGGTTTATAAATAAGAGGACCACATTACGTGATCGAAACCAGGAGCATACAAGAGTCATGAGGTACAGTATACCCTAGCATATACCGGTATACCTCAAGCAAATGATCCAAACCTTCCTGGACTTCGACCCATCGATTCACTCAGCGGCCAATCGATTCACCCCTGCACCCTACGCCGACCGTGCCCTCCTCGCCTCCGTCCTCAGTGCCCGTGTCCTCTCCGAAGTGCACCTCGCTGCTGGGACCCACCCGGGACGGACGCATATGGCATATGGCCGATCTGGGGCTGTGCAGCCAGATGGGTGGGAACAAGACGCTGTGAACGTAACAAAGGGCATCGCAACTAGGAGCAAGGACGCTACTAGTAGCTCCTGGCATCGCTACTAGTAACAACAAGCTACTAGTAACAAAGATCTTTCCATCTGTACACAATGATAATGGAGGTCTTTCCGTCTTTCCATTGGAGGCGTTCAATCTACCGCACTGAGCACTGCATTTTTTGGTGCCTCCGAGTCATTTGGACACATTGGACAACACTCGGACTCAGTGACATGGAATTGGAAGGCCTCCGTTTGCGTAAAGGACAGTGGTCTTCCAAGGCGTGGTCATACGTGAGTCAGAAAAGGATGCGTCGTCTCCCGACTCGGAGACACCTTTCTCTTTACGTCTTGAAAGCTTCAAGGATTGACACCCCAACAGTTGAACTGTTTGAGGTTTGAAACAGGGCTTGAAAGGTTCAAGTGCACCCCACTGCCGAACAGTGTTGTCTCTTCTTGTATGTTGGACACTACACCACTAGGACACTATTTTTTCTTCTTGAAGGTTCCAAGTTGAGAACCCTTTCCCCATAGAATCCTGCAAAACGCTTATGTCGCCTCACATGGTCGAATTTCCTCCCTCTAAAGCTGTTTAATGGCTATAAATTAGGTTGATAATTGGCCGTCCCACACTGGCCACGCAAAATGGACTTATTAATTCTTAAACCTGTTTTTTTTTTTTAACAGTCTTCCTGAAGTAGTCTCCCCATATCGCCCATGACGATAGAGTGAAGGGGTAAACAGCTAATCAAGATTTACCACGCGGTGTAGCATGCCATTCTGTCTTTGTGAGTATGCTTCCTACCTCGTGATCTGGCGACAAAGCCCTCCAGTTTTTGGTCGCACCATGTGAGTGAAAACGCAAACACCAAGTGCGGCATGCGTAGCATTTTGGGAGTGATTGCCTGACATAGCTATGATGAGCTCCGTTTCCCAAATTCTGCACCAGAAAACAATATAGAAGCAACCTGTAAATACCAAAGGAGCTTGCCATGATTCTGATTACAATCCTGGCCCACCCAACAGTTCACAATTTCAAAACAAGTGGCAGGATAGAGGACCTGCTCTCCAACATCAGTGTCTTGCAAAGCCTTTGCCAACACAGCTGACGGAAGCATGTTGGCTAATTGATGGGGATGGGTATCCAAACGGATGTACATCACGATCCGGTTGGGAGCTAAACGGAGGAGTTGAGCAGGGTTGTGTATTGTAGCGTACGCACATACATATTCATCCTGTTCTGAAGGGTACCAGCACAACAACTCGGTTGAATGGCCACTTGGGATAATTAAATGGAACATTTAATCACATGTGTATAAATGTATAAATATATGTTTTTACATGTGCAATAAGCTTGTACTATAATGTATCGTATAGGCCCACAAATGTGGGGTCACATAAGTCTTCAAATCTAACACCTGATGAGTTATCAGCTACACCCCTCAAGTGGGGGACAAGAAGAACATAATTTGCTACCATAACACCAGCGGCTCTAGTTCCATCTGTTCCTTTTCCGGTTGAACACTAGCCTGTGACCTACCTTTCTTTGAACTTTGCAATGTCTGTACATGTCTGTACATTCTCTGAAAAGAATCCTCCACAACCCCCTCCCGTCCTGGGGCCTTTACTACCCGCCACGCCAAACCACCCTCGCCAAAAACATTCGACCCATCGCCTGAAGCTTTGGCAACTTTCCCTCGTGTCGCAGCAGGAACTGACGCAGGCTGCGGCTGACCGGATCGAAGTCAGGATGCCGGTGGTCGAAGACCTGACGCGTCGGGACGCGTCGGGACGGGTCCCGAGCTGCACGCTGAGGTCTGGACCCGCCGTGGCCTCGGCCAGGCAGCGCAGGCAGTGGGGGTGTAGGGCAGATCAGCAATAAGGCTAAGCATGTATGCCTCCCAGCAAGAAATAGGAACGTTTTGTTGTACCAGAAATGATTCTTGAAGACCTGAAGTCGTCCCTCAATGGCTCTGAGAAGAAAGTATACATCATTTAAGAATCACATGTATTGGCACATGTTGCTTAAGAGCTTGGATTGATTAATCCCCACAAACATGAAAGCAATAAACACTGATGCATGCAGCCTTTGTCTTTGATGATGAGTCCTTACAAGTAGCGCGGCTTCCACGGTATGTTTGACACGTGGCGATGCTTCAAGCCCTGGTGTTTCCAACCAATCATCCCAAGCAGTTGGACTATGTTGGACTGGTGTTCAATTCTGTATCAGTAACCCCAACAGTGCCCTTCAATTCCCAAAGCCCTTTTGACGCAAGAAACCAAGCATGAAAAGAAAGCCCCCTGCATTTGGTCCTGTTCTTCAACTGCTAAGTTTTGGGTCAGGATGCAGTCAGGGTGAGCTGCAATGATCTCCAAACATGTTGGATCCCCATCCTGCTGCTCAGGTCCTGGCAGTTCCACGAAGCCTGTGACACAGCAACCTTGGCGGAAACACGCAGCGTCACGCAGGCACGCGACGACCACGACCTGGTGGCGGTGGTGCACATGATGGTGTTGACTCCGAGGTGCTTTGAGGAATTCCTGTTGTACTCTGTTTTCAGTATTTCGCCTGGACAGAATCTGGGCTGTTCACACCCATAACTGCCGGTCACCTTGAGAGTCTGTTCACTTCATGAAGTTGAGCACAATTGTGCTTAAATATGCTAAAGCCTTCGTACGGCCACATCCGAACATTCAGTTCCAACAATTGAAACATATGGCACCACATCTACAACATGAGAGAGGGAGGGCATCCTTTGCTGATCTCAAGCTAAGAAAAGCATCTATCTATACATACATTTAAAACAGGGCCGGTGCATGAGCATGGGTCTACCAGGTCTACCAAAGTAAGCCAACAAACCCACCCATTGGCCACGGCACTCAGTTCTTTCAGACCAGATTTTGGACTTCAAATGCTGAAGCTTTTGCGTGGGGCGCTGCCCTTGGCTTGCGAATTGCAGTTCGGCAGTTTGGTTCGCAGTTCGCCCGTCGCGCTCCGTCCGCTCTCGTCCGAGCAACGAAGCCCGTTGGCCCACTTCACGTCACCTTGAGGACCCACCCTGGGAGACGAGGGGACGTGCGTGACGTGCGAGAAACGACGCGACATAAACGGGTGGTCAAGCGGACAGCCTCCGGATGCCTCCGGTGAGCTAAAGGTCAAACACGTGTAGGCCACGCCTATATACCAAAATAACCCCCATAAAGAACCTTCATCTAGGTAGACAAAATCCCAATAAACCACCAACCATTGCGAACCGACCGAAACCCAAACAACATGTTCAATTTCCATCTTTTATTGGAACAGGTCGGCGGCGCCCTCTGAAAGCGCGTTCACTCCATCTTCACACTCAATCTTGCCTGATGCTTGCGGTGAGCACCACTACAGCGCCCTGGCAAAGGCAAAGTTCTTGAGGCACCTGGTCGGATCCGCAGCTGCAAAGATGGGGATTCAATTGGCTCGAGGCCAACCCCACAGTTGACTTGAGTAAATGTCAACATGTGTCCCCCTCCTTGATGGATCTTGATGGTTTCTTGCGGTGCTCAAATGAGGTGCTCTTCCACCTCAGCTGGGGTTTGTCCATCTGGTAGGCACCTCTGAAACCAAGTCCCTCTTGCTTTTTGCTGATCACTCCTGTCCCTCCTCTCACCTCCTTCCTCGTCCGCTGGCCCATGCACACCGCTGAGTAGCAGTGGACCTCCGCCTGACCGCCGGCTGTAACGCAGGACGTCCACGCGGACAGTGGCAATGCTGAAAAGGTAGGTGACGGGTCCCCTGAAGTGATTTTATATTGGCACGGGCGATGTCACATATAGAAATGACTATTTGCCTACCAGTCCGGTTGATGTCTCAAGTCCAATTTATTAACGTACTAGATCATACTAGTCAGGTTGCCTACCAGTTGATGTCTTGTTGCCTGTGATGCAATGCTCACAGAGCTGACGGTTTCACACCTGCACCTGCAGTCTGTAGATGACACTCCAAACTGATGCGGCCGTAAGCAGCTCTCAACTAGCTTCATGAACATGCAGTATTCGTCGGCTTGGCTTGCACCCGCAAAGCGTCCAGTAGCGTGGGTATGAGGAACAGGATCCAAGCAATACTGGCCCACATCCCTTGGACCAAAACTACGACTACAAAAGCAAGGCTGTGATTTCCAACCACAGCAACTTTGAGTGAGTTCTGCCGGAGATGATTTGCAACACGTGATGATGCAGCCAACGACAGCTTGTCCTGCAATTTCTGCACAAATATATCTATATATATATAAAGATATTGAGATTATATATATATGTACAACACAATCAACGCTCCTAATATACAAGTAGTTCCCGGGCAAGCCGGCGGCGGAACTTTCCAAAAGAATAAACCTATAGGAAATGGGCATGTGGCAGGCTGATTCGCCGAGCTGCGATGTTCTTTGACAAAACAAGTTGGAACCGACCAATGGAGCGAAAGCGAAGCAACCACCGTCAACTGTCTCGCAGGAAAAAAACGTTGTTCATGCATTTTGCAAAAGTTGTACTACAAAGTCGCCAGTTCTCATCTTCCAGCTCCCCAGCTACTCCGCGTACTAAAGTTGCACTACAAAGTCGCCAGTTCACATCTTCCAGCTCCCCAGATACTCCGCGTACTAAAGTTGTAGTACAACGTCGCCAGTTCTCAGCTTCCAGCTCCACAGTTTGCCCCGCGTACTAAAGTTGTACTACAAAGTCGCCAGTTCTCATCTTCCAGCTCCCCAGATACTCCGCGTACTAAAGTTGTAGTACAAAGTCACCAGTTCTCAGCTTCCAGCTCCACAGCTTGCTCCGCGTACTAAAGTTGTACTAGTTGCCAGTTCTCATCTTCCAGTACTAGAAAGTCGCCAGTGCTCATCTTCCAGCTCCCCAGATACTCCGCGCACTAAAGTTGTACTAGAAAGTCGCCAGTTCTCATCTTCCAGCTCCCCAGATACTCCGCGCACAAAAGTTGTACTACAAAGTCACCAATTCTCAGCTTCCAGCTCCACAGATTGCTCCGCGTACTAAAGTTGTACTAGAAAGTCGCCGGTTCTCATCTTCCAGCGTACTAAAGTTGTACTAGAAAGTCGCCAGTTCTCAGCCTCCAGCTCCCCAGCCTACTCCGCCTACTAAAGTTGTACTTCCAAGTCACCAGTTCTCAGCTTCCAGCTCCACAGATTCCTCCGCGTACTAAAGTTGTGCTAGAAAGTCGCCAGTTCTCATCTTCCAGCTCGCCAGATGCTCCGCGTACTAAAGTTGCACTACAAAGTCGCCATTTCTCAGCTTTCAGCTCCACAGATTGCTCCGTGTACTAGAGTTGTATTACAAAGTCGCCAGTTCTCAGCTTCCAGCTCCACAGATGCTGTGCCTGCCACGAAATCTGCTCGAGGTTCACAAAGTGCTGTGCCTGCCACAAAATCTGCACATGGAGGTTCACAAAGTGCTGCGCCTGCCACGAAATCTGCACATGGAGGTTCACAAAGTGCTGTGCTGCCAAGAAATCTGCACATGGAGGTTCACAAAGTGCTGCACCTGCCACGAAATCTGCGTATGGAGGTTCACAAAGTGCTGCACCTGCCACAAAATCTGCACATGGAGGTTCACAAAGTGCTGTGCCTGCCACGAAATCTGCACATGGAAGTTCACAAAGTGCTGTGCGTACCACAAAATCGGCACATGGAGGTTCACAAAGTGCTGCGCCTGCCACGAACTCTGCACATGGAGGTTCACAAAGTGCTGCGCTGCCACGAAATCTGCACCTCGAGGTACACGCAGTGCTGTTCCTGCCACGAAATCTGCGCATGGAGGTTCACAGTGCTGTGCCTGCCACGAAATCTGCGCATGGAGGTTCACAAAGCGCTGTGCCTGCCACGAACTCTACACATGGAGGTTCACAAAGTGCTGCACCTGCCACGAAATCTGCGCATGGAGGTTCACAAAGTGCTGCGCCTGCCACAAAATCTGCACATGGAGGTTCACAAAGTGCTGTGACTGCCACGAAATCTGCACATCGAGGTCCACAAAGTGCTGTGCTTGCCACGAAATCTGCACATGGAGGTTCACAAAGTGCTGCACCTGCCACGAAATCTGCACATGGAGGTTCACAAAGTGCTGTGCCTGCCACGAAATCTGCACATGGAGGTTCACAAAGTGCTGTGCCTGCCACGAAATCTGCACTTCAAGAAACAAATGAAAACTCTAATCACAATGGAGGGACGATTCCGAGAATGATCCGAGCATGATCCGACATGACCCGAGACCGTCTCGCAACCGTCGTTCCGCAGAGCTTCCCCGTCGAGGTTCGGAGCAGCATGGAGGTTCACAAAGTGCTGTGCCTGCCACGAACTCTGCACATGGAGGTTCACGAAGTACTGCGCCTGCCACGCAATCTGCACATGGAGGTTCACACAGTGCTGCGCCTGCCACGAATTCTGCACATGGAGGTTCACAAAGTGCTGTGCCTGCCACGAAATCTGCACTTCAAGAAACAAATGAAAACTCTAATCACAATGGAGGGACGATTCCGAGAATGATCCGAGCATGATCCGAGACCGTCTCGCAACCGTCGTTCCGCAGAGCTTACCCGTCGAGGTTCGGAGCAGCATGGAGGTTCACAAAGTGCTGCGCCTGCCACGAACTCTGCACATGCAGGTTCACGAAGTACTGCGCCTGCCACGCAATCTGCACATGGAGGTTCACACAGTGCTCTGCCTGCCACGAAATCTGCGCATGGAGGTTCACACAGTGCTGTGCCTGCCACGAATTCTGCACATGGCGGCTCACAAAGTGCTGTGCCTGCCACGAAATCTGCACATGGAGGTTCACAAAGTGCTGCACCTGCCACGAAATCTGCACATGGAGGTTCACAAAGTGCTGTGCCTGCCACGAAATCTGCACATGGAGGTTCACAAAGTGCTGCGCCTTCCAGGAAATCTGCACATGGAGGTTCACAAAGTGCTGCCCCTGCCACGAAATCTGCACATGGAGGTCTAGTGTATGATGAATGGTGTATGATGAGTGGTGTCTAATGAGTGGTGTATGATTAGTGGTGTATGATGAGTGGTGTATGATGAGTGGTGTCTAATGAGTGGTGTATGATGAGTGGTGTATGATGAGTGGTGTATGATCAGTATGATGAGTGGTGTATGATCAGTATGATGAGTGGTGTATGATGAGTGGTGTATTGATGAGTGGGGTATTGATGAGTGGTGTAGGATGAGTGCTGTATGAACAGTTCTTGAATGTCCGTAACACGGAAGTTTCGTACACTAAACTTCCTTTGATGAGGATAGTGCTTGACACTTGCGTTAAATTAGCTAGACTACCTATGTCGCTTAGAAGAGTACCAACAGTATACGTTCCTTTCTATGTAGGAGAGGATGACCCCTTTACACGCAGGTTGGATGAGTTCCGCGCGTGTATTAACTGCTCAGGGAAATGGACATATTGTGGGAAAACCACCAAATGAACGGACGACAGACATGACTTACTATTGGCTGGGGGGTTATCTTGCTTTCTAACACATCAAGCACGGTTCATGTATGCCTGAGCGCTCAAGGCTTTCAAGGCTGCCTCGTTGATCTGATCTGCCTTGGTCCGGCGCCAAACAAAACATAGCGAGTGGATTAAAACAGATTGGATACAGTATGTCTTTGTGCAACCTCGGTGTTTCGTGTTTTGGTTCGATTCTTTGATGGATGCAAAGCACCAGCGCAATCATTGGTTCGATCAAAGTTGACGCTTCTGTTGCGTTGACTACATGAATTCACGCAGTGGAGGTGTTGTGCGCCACGTTCCCAACTTCCGACGGAATGTCTCCCGACGGTCACATCCCCTCTCAAGGGGTCATAAACACAAGGCCTCCAAACTCAGGACTCAGGACCCTCAAAAGAGAAATCGTTCTGGATTTGGATATCATAATCCTTGGCAAATTCTAGATTCTAGATGCCTACCACGAACACTGAGGAACCCAGAACAAAACTTTCAGATCTAACAAGTACTGTGGCTGATGTAACATGGAATGCAGCCATGTGTGTTTGCACGAAAAAAGCGTCCCTCCTGACATGTACGCCCCATGAATATGCATAGGATAGTCCACGAGTCCACTGGACATATTCACCAACCATACCTTGGTGCGTAGCCTTGACGCACACTCTGTTTTCACAATACAATTCTTCAATTTCAATACAAGTCTTGTTTTCCGGCATGCAGGGAGCCGCTGCTGCTTCCCATTGCATACCTCTCTGCACAAGCTAAGTATTTAATTAACTAGGTTCGTCATGTTCCTTAAAACCAAAAACAGTTTCAGTGAAGACTGCATCGACATCCCGAAAAATGAAGGTATGATAAGTAAACAGAGTAACACATAACATTAAGAGACTGTGAGCACACCATAGCATACCGATTGTCATGGCCATTGCCCAAAAGTATACAATTGATTAGTGATCTCTATACATCCCCTTTATTCCATGACTCCTTTAGCACCTCACTTCAGACGCTCTCCATCCATCCCGATCCCGTATGCCTGGCGATTGGTGGGCACCACCACCACAGGGCAACGGTCTCGCGGCCTCCGGACGCGGCCGAGCCGGTCTCCCCACAGCGGTGTGACCCTTACGGCGTGAGACGGGGGATTGGATTGACAAGGGGACCGATGGAAGTCCAATGGCAATCAAGACAGAGCGCGAAGAAGATTGGTTTGAACCAATCCATATCTGGGATCCGTTGGTCCTTGGTGGGTAGGTAAGCCGAGAAGTACCAGACCACATGGGATGGACCAGGAAAGCATGTGGTCCAAGACCTCCGATTTGACCTCTTTAAAGATCCATGGAGCCCATCAGTTTCGCTGGTGATGTTCTCAGGAATCCCTGCTGTGATCGGTCCATGTTCCCCTATGTTTCCCTACTGTTTGCAAAAGGTTGACAAAACACAACTCCAAATTGTCCAGAAGGAACCTTCACTTTGACATGCATCAGTGCTGCACCACTCCAGTGGATCATGAAGCTGCCCTCTTCACCATGTGACTTGTGGAAGTGACCGTGACCACGACGAAAAATCGCACCTTGCCCGACACCGCACTCGTCTCGAATACTCGGCTGATTTTGTTTGCAAACTTGGCTGAATTTGAATGGCTCACGTTATCGAACATTTGGAACCTGAACATTTGATTTGGAAGAACTTCCAACAGGTCGCTCGGATAAACTGCTCCGATAGAGGGAGACTGGAGACTCAACAAACACTCAAGACCCTCGAACAATGTCTAAAAACATGTCTCATTCGATTCTGTGCACATCAAATCTTTCTTTGTACGAGTGATTCGTCAAACAATGCTCTGACCCTTTCAGTCAAACCCGCACCAAAATGCCTCCAATCCCGACACAAGGCACCTGGGTTTGGATGCCAAAGACTCCAAGAACTGCCAGGAGCTTTGCCCAACTTGGCCCTTCCTCACCTGGACGTCACGAATGTCTCAAACCCTAGCCGCTAGTCCCAACTTGTAACAAGGCTGGTTTGCACATCAGCAACACATGTTGGTGATCAAATGTGTTCATCTCATCTTGCAAACTTCCCACTTTGAAGCAAACCCAACGGTCTCCCAGTCCAGATTCAGAACTCTTGGTTGAAGGTTCTTTTTCCCCGCATGGTTGGAATGTCATTCACACCACATGTCAGAATGCTCCTTAAACATCAGGCTCTTCATTCTCTGGTCGTGTCACTTCTTCATTTCGGGAAAAAAGAAAAACATCCACTCCGGAAGATGATCTGATCCAACACCAAACCTCCACGCGCCTCCTCCAAGGCCAGCGCGAGCTGCTGCTCCTCAGGATCGGTTCGAAGCACCTTAAGAGACGGGTCCGGCACGGTTCGGCAGGGGCAGCGAAGGATGTGTTTCCAACGTGTCGGGGATTTTTGTTGTTGTGGTCTACTGGCAGGAAAGGCGAAAGTGGCGAGTATATAGGTCCAATACATATCAAAATATTCATTCTGCAAACTGTGAGAAGACCTGTCTGCGTAGATTCCATGGTATGGCGAGTATATAGGTCCAATACATATCAATTTCAATTCATTCTGCAAACTGTGAGAAGACCTGTCTGCGTAGATTCCATGGTATACAGATTCATTGCCCTAGTTGGATTCCAATTCAGCTGTATGTTGGATTCCTGTATGTATGGAATGCCTTCTTTCTGCCTATACATCTTTTTTGGCCCCTGTTCTGTTGGAACTGGATTCACCAAATCAGTCACTTGTGCCAACAAACGCACACCACACATTCATCTTGCTCTTGATTTTTTAATGATTAAATGTGTTTTCTTTTTTTCCCTTCTTCTCTCCCTTCATCAATCGCACTGCTGCGCCTCCGTGAGCTCCAAGGAGATGCTGATGGCCTCCGCCCACACCTCCAGGGCTAATGTTTAATTCGTAATAGGGAGGTAATCCGTGATTACAAAATTCAAAGCTTTCAGAATATCCGGATCAAATGTGATTTACGTTGCGCCCAAAATTCTGGGTTTGGGAGACATAATGATAGCCAATATCAAAATACATAAAACGTGTTTCCAACCATGAAACAACTTTAAACACAACTAATCACTGCAGATTCTGCTGTGTCAATGCTCACAGAAACTCTCAGGGAGTCACATGCTCCTCCAGCAATGGGCAAAAGGGCTTTGCCTATAGACCCTCTCCCTATTGTGCCCCCTGGCTTGCTTTATGTCTTCCTTTACATGTCTCTTTTAAGCATGCTTTTGCAAGTGAAAGCAACATGTAAGCAAATGGACGCAACGTGAAAGCAACTAAAAGCAAGTTGTAGGCAAATGAAACCAGCATCAGCATGAAAACACAAAACAAGAAAGGCAAAATTTCCCAACTTCCAAACCCATAGGGTTTGCTTTAAAACAAGATGGAATCCATGAACCCGAATGCAAACACGCACTCGAAAACAACCATTGTTTGACACTCTTGTGAAAAGCTCTCGTGCGACACTCTTGTGGGACACTCTTGTAGGGCACTCTTGTGGGACACTCTTGTAAGACACACTTGTGGAAAACTGTTATGGGCACTCTCGTGCGAAGCTCAAGCTATCCTGCAACACTCTTGCGGGACACTCTTGTGGAAAACTCTGATGCCACACTCTTGCGGGACACCCTTGCGGGACACTCTTGCAGGAGACACTCTTGTAATTAGGAGACACCCTTGTGGGACACTCTTGTGAAACATTTTGTGGAACACTCTAGCGGGACACTCTTGTAGGAGACACCCTTGTAGAATACTCTTGTGGGACACTCTGATGGGAGACTCTCGTGCAACACTCTTCAGCTCTTGCCAAAGGTCAAGAACTGTTTGCCAACAATTTGCCTCTCAATGTCCCCGCCCCAGTGTCCTGGAAGGAAGAAAATGTGTGTGCAGGTGGATGAAACTATGCTGGAGGCTGGAGGCTGTCCTGGAGCTGCTTCTTTGATGTCCAATCGAGAAAGGAAAAGGCAACGCTCTAAGACTTTAAGAGTTTGGCAGTTCACAGGGAAACAGCCTACTTCAGAAGAAGCGGCACATTGAGAGCTTGATGCGGGCTTGGCTGCTATCCTCTCCCTCAAGCCCAAACAATCCTTGGTGCAAACAGTTTGTTGTCTATGACTGCAAGAGCTGGCCTCTGGATAGCTACATATACCGGGTGCTGGCAGCTCATGAAGGATGTGTATGGCTGCCTGTCACCACCTCACCTCCTTAAAGCAAGAAACCCTTACTCCACAATAGGAAGGAGGTCCACAATTACAGTCCCTATTGTGCTCCTGGCTTGCTTTGCAATGCTTTCCTTTACATGTCTCTTTTAAACATTCTCTTGCAAATGAAGCCAACGTGAAAGCAACTAAAAGCAGCATGGAAGCAAAATAAAGGACAACCAAAAAACGTCAACTTTCATAAGACATAGTTTTTTTCAGTAAAAACTCTAGGAACGCTTCACTTCAACAGGCTTGCAAAGAGTACCTACCCCTTACAACTGCCAAGGATCCAGAATCCACAATAGGGAGGAGGTCCACAAATATAGGCCCTCTCCCTATTGTGGCTCCTGGCTTGCTTTGCAATGTTGTCCTTTAGGTTACTCTTTTAAACATTCTCTTGCAAATGAAACCAACATGAAAGCAAATGCACGCATACTGTAATGAAAGCAAATGAAAACACATGAAAGCGGAATGAAAGCAAATGAAAGTAACATGAAACCACATGAAAGCAGAATGAAAGCACAATGACATAATAATGAACGCACATGAAAACAGAATCGAAGCAACTAGTAACATGAAAGCATAATGAAGGCAACATGTAGGCAAATGAAAGCAGAATGAGACCAAATAAAACATAATGCATGCAGGCAGCAGAATGACAGCAGAATGAAAGCGACATGAAAGCCGAATGAAAGCAACATGAAAGCAAAAGCAAGTGAAAGGAACATGAAAGACCGGAAATGAACTCCAAAGGTTACTATTATTGTAGCTAACCTTAAAAAAACATGTATATAAAACACAAATTGGAGAGGTTACGGTTGACACCCCTTATTATTAGGAATCTAGCATTACTCATGACTCTGGTCCGAGATACTTTCAGACCTTGGAAACATGGAATGTTTTTTCTGACTGCTTGAGATGTAAACAAAAATAAGCTTAACCTTGTTCCATGTGTTCTTGTTTAGTGGGGAAATCAATTCCAAAAATCCAAAATACTACCCACTGACTTGGTAGGTGTTAGAAGTCTCGTCCCAGTTTCCACTGTATATTGGACTCTTTGGAGACTCCAGATCCAAGAGATACAAAGGGTACTTAGAAATGTATATTATGGGGTGGTATATTGAGCACCGGCATGGGATGATGGCCCATCTGTGGTCATGATTTACACAATATGGACATGTCTCAAAGAAAAACTAATCACTTAAGGGGCTCCCGTCACATGGATGCAAACAAAAAACAATAAGCAATGCCCCTTCAGCTGCGGACATGTTTGTAAAAAGGCACAGCCGGGCACAGCTTAGCTGCGCCTCGAACAATCTCCAGCCTAACTTTCAGAACATTTCACAATCAGTCACTTGGACGGAGTCTTCTCGAGATTTCGTGTCATTTGGTTGTCATAATCAGAACCCTCCACTCACTTCATAGCACGTGTATGGGGACATCCAAACCATTCAAGCTCCTATGGCTGTCATCCTACTCTTCCAACCAACTGGAAGCATCCCGCCGCCAAATTCACTCATATCATCTCATATCCATTCGTTGGGCTTTCCCAAAGGTTGCTTCCAAAATCGATCCACTGCTCAGAACATATCGAACCACTGCTCAACACGTCCTTCAACAAACCACCTACAAGCTCTGGCTGATGATCTACTGCATCTATCTCAAAAAGAGATAGTCATCTATAGCAAGCATGGCAGCTCCAGGAACCATGAACAAATACCATGTACACACAAACAAACAAACTGTAACACACTTTAAATACGAAACCGCCGGGCGTTGAACCCAGACGCGCCCCGTTGAAGCCAGACGCGCCTTGGCCTGGAACGCCCAGCCCTCTTTCCGACTCACCGGCGGCAGCTGATGGAAGTCTCCGCCTCGGAGGCGAAATGGCCATGTGCACATTTCTGTGGGCAACGTATCTACAATGACGCGCAAATGGCCATAGTACACTGATACTGCATTTACTAATTGTCAACAAGACAAGGAATTGCACATGGTTTGGTGTCAAGAGACTTGGTAAAAATGATCCATAGAGATAAGTTTCTGATTCTGATTCTAGTTGATTCTTATCATCTGAAGGTTGGAGAATCCACTTGCCGAAAGCAAGTCTTGGCAAGAACACATCTGCCTACAAATGTCCCAACAAAAAAGACATTTTATTGCAAAGAACTGAGGGAAAGATCCCCACCATACCAAGCAGGGCCAATAAACTGACCTGAAATCCTTCGAGCCAGGAGATAACATGATTGGGCACTGCTGAAGATTGAACATCACGATACTGCAAGGAGTTTCAGAAGCCCAACACTTCTCCACCATTCTCCACCAATTATATAATACACACTAAGTGACCTGCTCAATACTACCAACTCTGGCATCTCCAAACATCTCCAAACCAAGCGGCAAAGAAGCACTTGCAAGCCTCCGAAAGGACGCTGAACCGTTCCCCGTGCAGCGCGACCACAAAGGTCCAGAATATCCAACAAGCGCGCTGAGATCATCGAGACCTGCGCTGGTTTAGGGGACGTCCACGAGGGCTGGCTAAAGAACTCCAGTGATATGTATAATGTCAATATATATATATATACATATACATCCAACATCTCTACACAATAGCGTGGGGATCAAAACAAATTGCCAGAGTTGTTAGGTCAACTTTGAGTGCCGAAGCGTATGCCATGTCAAGCTCGCTTGATAAACTGACATGGGTTCGTTGCCTATGGAGCTATGTGAATGATCCGAACTTCCAATGGCAAAAGCCGGAAAAGGCTTTGAGTGAACAACCAAAAGCCCTACTGGTAACAGACTGCAAATCACTTTTCGATCTAGTGACCAACTTAGCAGTTCCTAATTGCCAGGAATGGCGAACCAAAGCCGAAGGCAACGCAGTTTGTCGATGGATTTCTACAGCTATCATGTTAGCTGATTGCCTAACCAAGCCCATGGACACCACTTTCTTGAGAAAGGTTTTAGCTATCGGCAAATTTCAAATTTTCGATGAAACCAGCACTTTGAAAACAAACGCAAATAGAAAGTTCGGAGAAAGGTGGGTTGAAGGTGTTCGAAAGCAAGCTGTTGAATAAATCATCTCGAAAAAGAACATAGTATCGGTGTGAATTCTGAGAAGTTCCACCTTCGAGATGATCCTTCATCGGTACGCCGATGGCTCAAGGGACGAGAGGACTCGTACGGTGCCGGCAAAGAGCGCGGCCGCGGGAAGGGAGGCCCCTTTTTGTTTAGGTTGAGGGTTCGAGGCCCTTTTAGGTTTAGGTGAGTTGTTTAGGGTAGGCCGCTGCTCCTACGGGAGTCACATATAAAGACATATACATCCAACATCTCTACACATCTCTACACATAGCATATCTTCACTTTCTGGCTTTGCACGCTCAGCTGACTCTGGACCAGCTTGAATAATCTGAATGGTGGATGGACTGCCAAAGTGAGGTGCAGTCCTGAACATTGTTTCTGGGGAAATGTCTATATCTATTAGGAAGATATATATATATATTAAACATATTATATACAGGATCCTGTAGGAATTGCCAGAGGCCTGTTTGGCATGCTTTTTGGCTGGTTTTCGACACGTACTTAATTTAAATATAAATAAGTATATAGTATAATAATTGGTATGGTTTTTGTGTCACTGTTAACTATTGTGGTTTGCCATAATGGCCATGCAGCCAACATCCTTGAACATGCACCATGTGTTTTGGTTCAGGGTTCAACGCCCAAACGTATATTGCCCGGCCCCCCTCAAACGAAAAAATAAACAGTGGCCTGCCCCGTTCGTGGGTGCACCATGGTGTAACCCAGTGATCCTCCAATGCTCAGGACGCCCCCATGGGCGGCCTCATCGATGACCAGTAACGTGGTCCCAGTCCAGCGATGGCAGGCAGCAGCATCCTGTGGAACTCCACACCGTGGCAAGACCGCTGACGTGGCTCAAGGACGCCCCCGGAGTTGGGTTTACACTGGTCCAAAGGTAAGACAAAAATGAGGCTTTGGAATCTTGTTGCGTTCGTAGCTTCTTTGTTACTAGTAGTCATGGCCTCCAACCTATTAGCGATGGCCTCCAACCTAGTAGCTTCTGGTTATAAGTCTCATGTGAGTGTGAATGTCCACTTAATTAGGGAGTCAAACCCCCAAACCAATGGGTGTTGGTCCATGTTCCTTCTTCCAGGGGGTCTTTGAGAGATATGCCTATTGTACTACACACTCATGTCTCGTTCTTTCCGATGTCTTCAAGTCGCCAGGAATTCGTCGCCCGAGATGTTCACATCGCCTGGTCTCCGATGCCCGGTTCAACACATGCGAGGTCAGGGACCCGCCGGATTTTTCACACATCATGTTCTGAATAAATCACGTCTGTTCGCTCAAATCCAAAACATTGACTTTGGGGGTCCAAAACTTCACTGTAGACAAATAAATATTCCATGTGGAGTGTGGGAATGTTCGTCCAATCTGACCGCGCAAACACCTCGCCTTCCAGGGGGAGAGACGGTGACTGCGGTGACTGATTCAGAAAAAACCAGAAGTTTCGGGCGAACCCTGGGAATCTGCAATTCCTGGCAAAACGTCTGAACTACTCGTCTCTCAAGAAGCGATAGCCCATGTCCACCCGCGACCGGGAGGTCCAAATGGCATCCAAATGGCCAACAACTCTGGGATCCTCCCTCGCGCCAATTCGGCAAATGTTATGCTTTTAAGACAGCACATTGTTTCCTTTACATTCTGAAGTCCAAAGTTGCAATCACAAACCATAGGCCCTGAAACATTGCTTGGAATTCGCATTGGGGCCTCACCATCTCAGAAATGCATGACTGGTTTCCAACAACGACTCTCAACCTTTCGCAAGGGTGCTGACGGTGTCCCGGTCCGTCACTTCTGGGCTCTCCGGGCCGAGCGCACTCGCTGCACCAGCTCCTCCGCAGAGCCTGTGGCCTGCTGAACACATGTCTGAGGGCCCAAGAACTGTAGTACCTGGACCTCCAAACCGAACAAAAGAACGTGCTCAAGTGACTCAAGGGCGCTGTTGATAGACTTTCTTCCTGGAATTTATCCTTTATTGATCTTTATTGTTATAGGGCCACAACCTAGCGACCACCGGCTTCGCTGCATGGGTGTGTTTCCTCGCATTGCTTCTAGATTGTGGATTGTCATCTGTTCATGCAGAGTTGACAGACTTGGTGTCCACTCCGGCTTGCATTTCGGAGTTGAAACGTGCACGATTTTGTGTGGTCTGGTCGAAAGTCCCTCAGACTTTGAACGTTTTGCTGTCATGATTCCTCTCACCTTAAGCAACATGTTTCGACCAAACACCATGGACACGCGTGTGTATGTTGGTTTCAAATGAAGGATGGATGATGTTGGCATTTGGGGAATTGAACGACATATAAAAACGCATCATATGCAGGGCCATGATGCCATGTTAAAGCATGTGTATACAGTGCATGACAATTTAGTCGACCAAACTCTGAACAAAGCAGCCACACCACAAACTAACGGGCACCTGCCCCAATCCTGCCCACGCATGCGTGGTCTCTCCACCAATCAGCAATGCCTCAAGTGGAGGCTTGCGCAAGTCCAAAAAGGGGCTCACCAAACCAAGTGACATCAATGAATAGATATATATTTTTCTATATACATATTGTATACATATATATTATTGTATATGGCTTTTCTACTGTTCTACGGATTTTATATACACGGTCTGGTTCAGCCGACTGGCTTAAATTAAACGCCAGCAAGAGTGCACAGCAAAACAAACGCGACACAGTTTCGGCCCAGATGCAAACAATGACACGGTGCCACTGCATGCGGTTCACGTTGTTTTGTCTATAAATACGCACAACTAGCCCAGATCTAGATGAAGGCAACAAGGGATTCATACCACGCAAGGTCCGCAAGTCTTTTCCATCCTGCCAACCCATTGGTTGCCAAGTTTCCCTTCCTAAGATCCGGACCGCCCCACCAGTTGCCGCGGTCAGTGCCACTTGACGCTTGGCTTGGTGGTTCACTGCTTCCAGGACGACCGACTTCCTGGCAATCCGTGCTTGGATCTCAACTCTGTGCACTCCGCAGCCACATCTGGTAGGGTCTCCTGCACACTATGCTCAGCTGCCTCTGGCAATGGTGGGCATGCGCCCAGCAGCACACATGCAAGCTTAACCACACATCTAGTTCCGACCAAACATGCTTCTCACAATGTGCCAGTACAAGGGCAACTTTGATCGTGGCTGAATATGGTGTATACATATATGCATAATCATGTATATCATCATACTTATCATCATATATGATTGATATTCATTGATGCTTGGCTTGCACTTGCACAAGTGCTTTCCTTTTCCTGCTGGCTGTGCCAAACTTCACATTCTTGCAAACTAACCGCTAGCTGTGCTGCAGCAAGGACTACGTGGGCACCAGGACTCCATCGCATCATCGGAGGTAAACCCTTGCAATGGCCTGTAGAGACTGACAAGGAATGAGGTGGTTCCTTCCATTCGAACAATACAGTGCATTGGATCCAACCACCCTCAGTCAACTGCCAAGTCCGTCAGCACCAGCACTAGCAAGCACTAGGCCCTTATAGGCCCTTAGTTTTTTAGGACCCATCCTCAAATGTGCGAGTGGACCCGAGAAAACTTTATGGTTTCTTGAGGAGAACGATATGCAAGCAACAGTCCCTCCATCTGGTCAGGGACTCGGGGCATACAAAACACACTTACCACGTGCTTTAAAGTATGTCAGCTGTCTTGGCCAATCCCCCTCCATCTGGATCATGTGGATGCGCTCCAACTCCGGTAATTCAATGGCACCGGTCATCAACCGTCATGTGTCAGTCTCCTGAGGATTAGAAAGGGGCAGGCCCGGATTAATTGTTACTCAAAATGTCTCAATAAGGAATCGCAATGAAACATAATGAAAGTATTGTAATCATTATTCATGAGCCCATGTCCAGTGTGTTGTTGCCAGCCAAGATCGAGTATAGTGCTGGATTCAACACTGCAACCCAGCTCAACGATGGATTCAACACTCAGAACCCGACATCATGTGATCGACTCTCAATTGAAAAGTCAAGTGCTTTCCCGATTTCACTTGACTTTCAACCCGACATCCTCCTCTGCTGGGTGGGAGTATGATCTTCATTCCAATTGTTCCCGCTCAGCATCGCTATTCTCCAGCAAGCCCTTCCCGGTGCCCACGGGAATTCACCTCCGTGTTATCCTCCTTCACCTCCCCACGCATTAAACATGTCGCTTGCACCCGGAGCCCGCAGCACCTGACCCACGGTCGACGACTTCACGGAGGCAATGAAGGCCATGGACCACAAGCACCGACATCCACCAACCACCTATGGCCTAATGGTGCTCTGGATCCTATGGTTGATACTTGGTACATCTTGGTACTAGGTACTGAAATATCCTAAGCGTCACACAAACTATTTCATCTTGGACCCTGAGAGAACTCTTGATCTCCTTCAATCTCCCATCACTGCTACCCTCAACACGGGTTCCCGGCATTCTCCGTTACCCACCCTCAGATCTGAATAATCGGCCGGCTGGCTTGCGAGCGAGTCTCGAAGCGAGTTTGGCGTTGCTTCCTAAAGCTCCGACTCGTTGTTCTAAGTTGTCGTAAGCTACGACTGCCGACAGCCCACAGCCGATGGACGAGCTGTCGGCCGGCGTCTGGCCGTCAGCCTTTATCCTTTACTGACAACCAAACAAACCAACGAGACTGGGATGAACAACCCAGAAGTTGTGGGTTGGCACAACTTGTTGGGCTACAGGACATCCCTTCTCCGAAATCAATAGAGCTTCACTGAATCTCAACAGAGTGATTTGATTGCAGGACGAATTCACACAACTACTACGTAAACTGAACATAGCCATATGTTGGTTGATTGCCCGCTTGTCCACAGGATCTCCTCAGTCACCTCTTCATGCCCGTCTCGAAATCAATGTGACATCCGACAAGCTAATTACCCTTGCAACACCCTACAACTCTTGAGATACCAAGACAACTACCTAAGACAAGTTCTTCGAACAAATCCAAACTGGGCAGTCGCTTTACTGCTTCGGCCGTGGAAGAATGCGTTCGTTTCAGTCGCTTTCGCCCAAAACGCGACCCACCGGCCTGTCAAGAAGACATTGTGACCACGCCTGTCAACTACGCGTCAAGCCGGTCGAACCCAGCGTTGGAGGCCATTGCTCCTAGGTTGGAGGCCATAGCTCAACCAGGTTGGAAGCCATTGCCCATTCGAAAAGGGGGTGCCGTTCAATGAAGGGAAGCTCCTGAATCACAAGTGACAAGTTCTGGTCGTCACCCAGCTCCAACATGTTCGCTCTCCAATGACCACTTTGGAGGACTCAAATCAAAAACCCCCACACCTCCGACGAACCACGAAGCTAGCAGCTACTTCATGTGGAGCAGGGAAAGATCGCCTTGCCTCGTTGGACATTTTCCTGCCAAGGAGAAGATCCTATGCGGTTCTTCAGTCGCCCCAGGGTCTTAGACCCTGGCCACAAACTCCCTTCACCACCTGCATCACTTCATCTCAGTCTTGTGACTGAGCTGGAGCCCCAAAAAAGCACTTGGAAACGACACCCGGCAGGAAAACAAAGGAAACTCATGATGCCGACAGAAACACATCCATATGGAAAAAAGGCAACTTCTCAAAACCCATTTTAATGTTCAACCTGGCGAACTCCCAGCCGGAAGATGCGGACCAAGCTGCAGCACCAAGTCCACCACTGTTTGCTGCGCTTTGGTCAGCAAGGCCTGTACCAGGCTGAGAACATGAAACATGACGTTTACTGGTGTTTTGTTTGTGTGTTTTTTTGTTGTTGTTTGTTTGTTGTGTTTTGTTTTGTTTGTTTGTTTATTTGTTTTTCAAGAAGTTCTGGGTGGCTTTGGTGTTGAACTGATGTATAGCTTACTTGTTGGAAAGCCAGTGGTTTCCTTGGACTTGAAAACCCTGTTCAGTAATGTCATTTGCAGGAAAAACAAGCTTAGAGTGTATGGATATATCTCAAAGCGAAACAGGCGTGTCCAGCCAGGTCCATAACTCCAACTTGAGCGGCAAGCAAAAACAAGTAGACCAATGCTAATAAACCATAAGAAAACAGCCAAGGTCAAATTGAATTAAAGTAGTGTTCTTCTGACAGGACAGCGCTTCTCAAGTCCAACATCTGGTCAATCTAAAACAAAGGCAATTCGCTGAACTTTCCAAGTCCTTTATACTCAGAGTACTCAGGCCCGTTCGGCTTTCGGTGTTTCAACCCGCTCTACGGTAAGTGGACAAACGATTGAAAAACTTTAGAGCTCCCAACGACATTGAAGCAATGGGCTGTAGCTTCGCAAACTGGTGTTGGCACTTAGTCTCATGGAGTCCATTCGCCCAAGTTCTGGTTTTCTCTGGTCGAGGGCTTCGGCGAATGGGGCTTTTCGACTGGTTCGATGGAACATCTCAGTGCTTCGAGAAAGCCATGGTGGTGAGCTATGTCACTTTTGCAGGACTTAAATATGCAGCCAAGCCGGAGCCGTCGTTGTATGCAAAGGGAGAGCCTCATTCCGTTCTGAATAAAAAACAGCTAAGCCATACACAGCCCACCCATTGCCTGCCGCTCAGACATATACATGTTCAAAAGGAAAACCCAATTGATTCACAGACTGAAGTGACTAGTCTACAGTTCACAATGGTTCATGTGTCAGAGCTTTTAAGGTTTGCATATGACCCCAAACTCGCACATACCTTGGTGAGAACTCATAAAACAACCAACTCCGGCCATTGAAAAATGGTGTGGAAAGAACTATATGGTACCAAACTCAGTCCCATCTCAGCATAGACCGTTGTCCTCCTTAACAGTGTAACACCCGAGCGGTCCGGCGGTCCGCGCATCTTTTGTCGCAAATGATTTGCTGATCGCGGGTCGTGCGTCTTTTGCACCGGAGTGGTCGGCTTGTTTCAACCGGCCTCATCTGGGAGATGAGGCGCCTTTTGGAGTTGATGTGAGATTTGGCAAATCCAACCCATCCACGCGTGGAGTGACATCCGGAGAGCTCTCCCAACAAAGCAACCTCCGGCGAAAACCTATGCAGCATCCTGCAAGTCCGTGTGGTATAACCCGAGGGTCAAAGATGCCCGACCCAAAGGAGAGCTTGTGGTTAAACCAATTTCTCTAGGTCAAGGATTGCATAGGATTGCTCCTATAATGATGTAAAAATGGCTCAGTATCTTTCTCCTATCCTCGCAGCGGACGAAAGAAATGACCTACAACCCCCATTGGCCCACTAAACTATGGCTGTTCTACTCTTGTTACACTTTTCAGAAGGAACCATTGGGAAGGCGCTCCTCCCAACGAGGCATTTCGGCATGACACCCACCTCGGCAGCTGTGCTGAAGCGCAAGCGTGAAGATTGATGTTGCGTGAACAGCTGTAGAAGTAGTCGGAACAAAACAAAACAATACTATAGTGAACTATCCTAGACCCCCGATTTTGAACAAGCAAAAGGCAAACATAGAGGCCAAATGACTCAAAGCATCCCAAAGCTGCGGGATAGGCTGATCACTTCAACTTTATAGTTTGATATAGTTTGTACTAGTTTGTGTGAAGTCAACTTACTGTCTCCAGCTCACCTCGCACAGCTGACCGCCCTGTTCGAGAAAATTTGGGCAATGCCACGGGCATTTTCGGATTTTGCGGAAAGCTGCCAAGGCCTTCCCTGGACTCCGGAGGGATCTCCGAGTGCCTCAAAATATGAAATCAAGTCGAAAGAAATACTGGTAGTAAGTCAAGAAGGAGAAAAGGACCCTTTGGTTGCGTACAGTGTGACGTGAAACATGGTGAAACAATCTGCTTCAAGCAAGAAACACAAATGACAGAACAATGAAGTTTGATTCTGGACAAAGAAAACTATGAAATGATATGAAGCAGCACAAAGGACGAGATAGTCTCCAAGGCAACGAGTCGATGTCTTGCACTCCAATATTCCCATCGACGCGGATCGAATGACACCCTGAAAGAGCGTTTTCCTCTACAAACCAGTGATTTTCAGGATCCACGTGACTTTTCAGCGAGGTAGGTCATCAATGGTCATTCTGATGATCTTCCTGCTCTTTCTAGATTCTTCTCGGCATGGAACGTGGTGACACCCGAAAACCCTTGCAAACGGACCCAAACACCGATCCTACCATGGCTAACAACATGCTGGGATTCTCGACCCCAAACACCCGGTGTTTTGGCGGATGTTTGGACACCCCAAACGAAGACGATGTTGGCACCTTCGAGCACGGAATCGAGGAGAATGACATGAACACGAAGATCACGAGGATAAGAAGAGCAAAAAAGGATAAGCGCACCCGCACGCACAAGACCAACTTAAGCTGGTATACGGAACCAATTCTCACACAAGAGTGATGGCTCAAATGACGGACAAATGATGAGTTCTGCAAGCGGTATACGAGCGGCGCAGTTTGCATCCTTCGACGCTGAGGACTAATTGATCTGATTGGAAACTTGAGTTTCACCCCTTCACGGCTCCACCCCCCGTGGCCCACTTTCACACTTCCAAGCTGTGCTCGGGGCCGGATCGCACGAAGGATAGCTCGCGGCTCGAGCCGAGCAATGGATTGTGAGTAGACTCAGTAGATCGATCCTTTTAGAGTTAGGCGATGTTGACCGACTATGACTATGTGTATACTACTGTATGTAGGAGGGAGCCCATACCTCTTCTGCACTATGAAGATATTGTATTGGGGAAACGTTCAAAAACTATGCTTCATGACCAGCAGAAATAGTGCTGACATGTGCTGACGATCATGGAATACAAAATATACAATATCCAAAGAAACACACACACAAAATGAAACAAACAAAACAACAACATGTAATGTATGTTATGCGTATTGCATGTTGTTGATATTTTACAATACGTTGAATACCAATATGCTGTGGGTGAATCTGCACACAATGTGTTGTTTTGAGTGTCTGCAATGACATTATGCAACATAAGCAGTTATAATTAAAGTCATCCACCACAAGTCAGGGGGTGCCATTAAAACTCCCCATCACCTCTCCCCCCTTTGAGTGTCATCTGGTTGATCATGTGTTGTTCTTAGAATGCTCCCCCAGCACGGGAGAGACGCCCCACACCGTGCGTCACCGGCTCAGGAGTTCAGAGTCCACCGGCGTCTTCTTGAGGCGGACTGAGCACACGGCCTGGCCGGCAAACGAAGGAGCGGACTCCGGACGCCGCCGAATGCCGCAATCGATTCTTACTGGGTGTGGTGGGTTGCGGAAAGAAGTGGGACATGCGCATGCGGCCGCATGCGCTCTTGTCTTTGTTGTTTCGATGATGTCGTTGTTTCAGCTTGTTTCTGTTTTGTGTTGGTTTGAACTTGAGTCCTCTTTCTTCAGGACGATTGCTCGGGCATGCTCGGGCAATTTGGTTGGTTCTTCGATACATGCTACTCATGGGCATGTTCCAGGCTAGCGTCAGGTCCCTAAATACTTTGCAACGTCTTCCGCATGATTGCGACAACATGCAAATTGATCTGTGGACGCCGTCGTTCTCTCCACGCCTTGTCTGTCATTTATTGGATATGATATGGGTAGATCATGGTAGATCGAACTCCGCTCAGAAGATGTGAGTGGCGCGTCCACTCGTCTTCCCAAAGGCCCTGAAACTACCTGATCGGTTGCAACCGGTGGGTGGCGGTCCTGTCATGCCAATAGAAAAACATATTCTTAAATAACCTCGTGCACTGAAAGAATGAATCGTCGAATTGTCGAATCTCGCGTAGCAAAGTGGGTATAGTATCCCAATGTATCCCAATCACCCAAAGAACATCCCATATAGTAACATATAGTATTCCCATATACAACATATATATATATAGTATCCTAATGTATCCCATAGTATCCCATATATATATATATATATGTATCCCATGTGTAACATCCCATGTGTATATAGATATATGATCCCATATAGTATCCATTCCCCTTGGAACGCGTGTCTGATTCCTCGCTCCCATTCCACGGAACCGCCTTCGCAGCCTCTGGGTCGGCTTCCGGAAGCTCCGCGGGGTCCTGGCTCCGGGAGCGGTTCGCGGAAAACCGGCTTCGGTCGGTCGGAGGGATTGGGAGAGCTTCAGAACATACGCTATGTTTCTACTAGCTTCTTGTTACTACTAGTAAGGCACTTGTTACTACTAGCGATGCACTTGTTACTACTAGGAACAAGAAGCTAGCTATAAAATACACTGTTCTTCTCCACTATTACACTATCTTCTTCTGACATGTTCAGGTTTGGCATGAGATTGCTTGAACATGCTTGAAGGCTCTGTGCCACTTCGGCTGGTGAATACAAGAAAAGCCGACGTGCTTTTTCATGAAAACCGAAATGGAAGGTCATGTCACTCGCAAAAGGGTCATGCGTCCTGTCATCCTCCCCTGTTTGCTTGTCATGTCATAGGCAGAAAACAAACCCGTCCTCTTCGAGGGCCTTTGCTAAAGCGCCCGCGCCCTGGCTTTCATTCGCCGGTGTCATGAGCGGACTCTCCATGTCCTGCGAAGGTGGTTCATAGATGACTTGGACTTCTGGGTTCTACAAAATCAACATGTGCCTACAATGTGATAGTGAATCAACATGTAAGAAGTAAAGCTCTTCCAGCATAAACACCTCATCCCGTGTACAGTACTTGTTTCAGGATGTCTTCCACTGAAGCAAAACAGCGACTGACAAGACCTTGACAGCTGTCAAGTACACCTGCGAACCAGTGCTTCCTCCAGGACAGTCCAGGGACCTATCTTCAGGCTCTATGTTTGGATGTCCTAGCTGGCTCAGGGTGTGCACTCCTGCAAACATGCTCACTGAGGGGCAATGCTCAGTCGAGAGCTCTGGAAAACCTCCACGTAACAAGCACTCTTCGTACGTGAGAACCAATGACACTGAGCTCTCCTGTCGAAGAGAATTCAACTCTCCACCATCGGACTCGGGTCCTCCCAACTGTCAAGGATATCCTCCTCCTTCTGCTCTACTTTAGCTGGCGCATCATTGCCGCCTGCACAGCCATCGTTGGATGACACGGCGCAAACAAACCCGGTGGGCGTCCCGGTGTACGCCCTGCTGCACAAAGAAGTCCCCGTTTGCTAAGTGATTGCAAGAAGCGGGTCAGTGGGAATGAAGCATGTCTGGCATATGGTTTGCATGTTCCCACATCAGCTCAAAGCCAGTGCTCTGTTCCCAGGGACAAGCACTGCAACCGCGGAAAAATCGACAAAACATGAGAAAACCATCGGCGAGTGGAGTTGGGACACCATCCCGAGCCCAGGGCAACTTTCGAAGTCTTGAACCAAAAACAGGTGTCCTCTCCATCCAAATCCATCTGGGCTGCGGATCGGTGTGTTGCCTGTCGTTGATATCATTAGATTGGCCATAGTGCACCTTGAGGGGCTCTGGGGCGTCCTGATGTTCTTTTGGGCCCCTCTCTGTTAAGTGACGTCAGGGCAAACAAACTTGACTATACAAACAATCCCCATTGAGGTTCCCTTAAGTACACACCAGTGAACCACCCAAAACATCCCAAAACATGTCCCAACCCCTGCTAATTAAACAAATACGACGCTGCCTTCCACGGCACATAGCCACATAGTCTTCTTCCACGTCCGTGTCAAAACCGAGCCACAGATTTAATTTAACCGTCTGATACCCCAATCCCGTCTGGAACGGGAACGCGGCCTCGCCTGCGGGATTCTTCTTTTCGATACCCTTTTGGACTTCCTCAATGATGCCTGCAAGCGCTGGGCATCCTTCCAACAAATCCGCAAAACCTTGCTGCCGGGACTCAGGCTTCCTATGGCTTCCTGCTTGGCACAGCAGAATCTTGGCAGATCTGATCCCCGTACGTTGAACTCCAAGGAAAGAAAAGGGATGTCTCGATTATGAGATGACATTTCTGACGGGGTCATCACCTGACTCAACAGCTGCATGAAGAATGAATCCCGGACAGGTGGTCATTCTTCAGGACTCAACATCACGGTCTTCAACCATTCCAGCATTATTGGACCATATATGGAGCCCGGTCTAAAGGACATCTTGAGCCGACCTGTGTCATCTACTCTGGAATCGCTGTAGAAGCGATGTCGATTCCCAGATTTCTCAAGTAGATAACCCGTGCATACCCGAGAAGCATCGAGAGCGTGTTCCGGCGTGTTCAGGGATCGAAAAACAACCTTTTTCCAGTCCCCCGATGAGAACCTCTGTCTAGGAAAACTATATATATATATATGTAGCATCTAAAAGTCACTTCGATGAGAGGTTCATTTCCCCCTATTGGAAACAAACAGTGAACAAACCGCACCAGGAAATGACCGGGGAATGTTCGCAGACGACACGCCGGTCGACAGGTCGACACGATATACCTGCCTTGCTTCACTGTCCAGATGCCATCGCGGTCGTCCACGAGATACCTGCCATCGGCCAGGGGCGCAGCCGGCCACGGGCTGGAAGGAGGCATGCTGAGCGAAGAAGGACGGACGTGAGATTTTGTAGAGATGATTGGAGATTTTGTGAGGTAGGTGACATGGTATGTGAGAGTGGGAGCATTTGTTGTCAGAATTTGGTAGACATTTGTGGAGGTGCTTGGGGTGGGCTGTCAAAGGCTCTGTTAAGCTGGCTTTGTCAGGAATCATTTTCTTGGGGTTTTGCAGTGCTCAGAGTCATGTGCACGACTGCGATCCAAAGCTGGAGTTCTGGCCTGTTGATGCTGTGGGATTCTAACCGTTGATTTACTGTAATAGCCTATAGTCTTTACCGAACAAGCAGTGGTTTATTGAGGATGTACACTATACTTCAAAGTAGAATACCAAATCCACAATATTTTTGGAATGGTCTTTGAAGGCGGGCACGCATGTACACCAATCACATCCCTGGACATGCCATGCCATGTCTTCAGTATGTGCTTCACCCACAACGGCCAACACGTCGCCTTGGCACCCAGTTCCCCTTGGCGCTCTCCCCACAGATGGCGCCACGAGCCGCGGCCCAAATGAGCCTCGAGCCACGCACGGCAGGACATCGAAACATGGAGCCCAACAGCAGGGGAATCCACACTGGAATAGCCCAGCCGGCTGGCCGCTTGAGAGGACCCCTGCAGCTTAGGGGAGACATGAAACCTTTTTTGATAGGGATGACCCTGCCCAATCATGGTTGGGGATGACCGCCATGGGGGATTGACCGCCATTGGGGGATGACCGCCATGTTGGTAGACATGTTATGGTTAGCCATACCCATGGTCATATTATAGGGGATGACCGCCATGGGTATTGTAGCGGCCAAAATGAACACCAAGATCTGTACGATGTGGACGTGCGGATGTACCATGTGCTGGAGTCAGGCCCGAGTCAGGCTTACAGCCTCTGTTGGAACCGATCCAGCAACCAGAATAGGATGGAGAATAGCTCAATGAACAGCGTGATTGTTCTTATGCTTTCAAACCACATACAATTACATTTACAGGAGTTATGGTCGGTTGATCTGTAGAAACATACTCTTTGGCTTTGAACAACGCAAAGGACCAGCTTCTCAGAACTGCAAAGTGAGCCTACCCAAAACGAGCCCGGTGTAAAATAAAGCACATTTAAGAGACACAAATAGAAGACCAATAAGGGTTTTCATGCATTCCAACATTTAAGAGACAAATGAAAGGCAAATGAGAGACAAATGAGGGACAAATACACCCGGGAAAGTTAACATGGAACTTGAAAATGGACCGTTGGAAGACTACTTTCCTCTACAAACCAGTGGTTTTCAGGTTACATGTTAATCTTCCATGGAGTGTAAGAAACACATAAGGTACAAATAAGCTCCTGCCCTTGTGGGGAGCTTCGGGAAACATAAGGAACAAATAAGGGACATGACAAATAGGAGACAAAATAGGATGAAACCATCAAGACACGCACCTCACATCATTGCTGACCCCACCCTAGGCTCGTTCACCCTAGGTTCACATTCCACTTATGAGCTTTCTGACAAAATCATACAACATATATAAGCTCGATGCAAGCAGCTCAATCAAAGCACCCATTTGAAGTTGAGCTGTTGGTGAGTCGTGAACATATATGTCAAAGTGGACCACACACAGGGAATGCACTATGGTGTATGCTTGACAATGGGGTATGCTTGGGAGGTATGCCTCAAACATCCCAAGTCTACATAAACTGGACACGTCACAAAAGTGCAAACCAATGTGTCGACTGTTGACTACGTCCCGTTTGTGGGTCGAGTGGGTAAGGCAAGGACTCCGGTCCTTCAAAAAGGTTTGGACAGCAGTGATGAGGACGCTGAGAAACTTCAAAACTGAAGGAATCTGCACAAACAACTTGATGAACACATATCAACACCACGCATCGGTTCCATGAGCAAGTTCATCTCCTCCTGAACAAAAGAAAAAACAAACAGCCAAAGACCACCATCCTTGGCCCCGCAAGTCACCCACCTGTGCCAAGTCACCACTCGTGCCACAGGGGGGTCCGACATCAAGGTGGACCGACTACCTATGACCTGAGTGGACATCGCTGACGAGGATAGACTCACTGCAGCCTGACTCTCCACGGCGGAAAGACTCACCACGGGGTCCGGGGAGAAACGAAGATGGAGGTGGGGTGTGTGCGTTGATGTGCCTTGCATATATCACTCCCATTTAAGGGTTGGCTTGAATTCTGAAGGTGGGCCCCTGTTTAGAGCCATGTAGACAGCTCGCTCCTTTTTCACATCCAAAAGGTAGCTCCAAAACATCCCCAAAGCCAAGCGAAGCAGCCTGCACAGCCTCTCAGGTAGTGGTTAGCCCTCAGGTTAAGGTCATCCTCAGGTCTTGTCCTTCCGCTGGGCACTCCGAGCAATAAGGCCAATCCTCGCGCGCGTGAGCATGACGTTCAACCGTCGCCAGTCGCACAAGAAGCCCACCTTGCCTTCGCCTGGGCGGAGGTTCTGCAATTCAGATTGGACTGTTGCCTATAGTTACAGGTTCAGAGTGGATGGCACTGGCACCCCCAAACATGTCTTAGACAAATGGGTGTCCATATTTTTACCACCGACATTGGGGATTATATATCCCATCTACTCTGAAACCACTGTACAACAATGAAGTTTGCTTGAAATGACCATGGTTGATTAATGTTTTGTTGGAGTTTGATGTGTTGTGTCGCAATTGATCAATTGCTAATTACTCTGGTCAGACCAGTTCTTGAACTTTGCAATCCTCAAGGTCGAAGAACCTGTCAAAGAACTCAGTACTGGACCTTCAAACACATGTGACATGCAGGATGACTCACAGTCAGCAAGGGCTTGGGGCTTGGAGAACGTGGACCTTAGGACATGGAAAGGGCAGAAATCACCTGGGGGACTTCAAGGGACGAGGCCGGGCGACCGGGGAACTCCGCCACCGAGGCGACCAGGAGCCATCCCATGCGACCGGAGGGCGACCGGCGGATGACGTGGTACTGACGAAGACCAAATTGAGAAGCGAGCCACCCTGACCATCCCTGACCATCCCTGACCCAATCCTCAATGTGCTTCAATTGTGTAATTTGATGCCAACAAATCCAGTAGATATACGGCAATTTGTACCTTGGGGTAAATTCTGATGGAAAAATTGGTCAATGTAACGTGCAAATTATGGGTGTAATACAGTATGTGCATGTGTATATATATATATATGTGGAAAATATAGTCACTGCATCACACTCCCTGTAACAGTGGATGATGATGGTGAATAAGGACCTTTCCAAGACCGGTGAGACACCCTTAAGAACTGTTACGATGCACGAACATATTGATATATACATATAACTATAACATCTATTTGTATATATGTATACTGAAGACCCTGTGTTCATATATATATATATAGAGTTGTGTTTGTAGGAGAACAGTAACTCTGCACAAGCAGTATGCTCGTGTATATCCACTTCCAAATGAGCAACGTTTCGCCCGTTTCGCCCGTTTCTCGCCGGTAACTCACATCCTTGTGCCGCCGAAGGGCGGTTGTTTCTGACCGCGCAAAAAATGATGACCTGCCAGCGGTCTCCCTTCGTGGTCGAGGGGGGAACATGATGACCGCCCAAGGTTGGCGAACATGGGACGATTTGGTAGAAGGACACGTTCAGATCCAAATACAGTCGTGGCAAAAAAGGACCACTAGAACGCCGTGTGTCACATTCGTTCATTGAACACATGACCTGAAGGTCACTACGATGTGTCCACCAGAAGTGTTACTTCAGCAAATTAGACTGCTACATCCTGTTGCGGTCGTTTCAGTTAGAACATACCACAGGGTACGATACACTCTTGACCGATGAACACATGAACCGTCTGTCAGTGAAGACCGGGATGAAGGTCCAATGCATGGGCAAGTATTGAGACCTGACAAGTCTGGTAAAAGCCGAATTCATTGTTTTGTGTTTTTGTTAATATTATTTCACCTGATCTCACTAATTATGATATTGCTTGCACTTGCCGCAAGTTTGTGAGAGTTCTAAAGGGGTGTACTAAATAGTCCTCCAGTGAATGAGCACACCAGGTCCCCTCCAAGCTCGGCACCACATGGAAATTGGACCTGGGACCGTGAACCATGTTCCGAACAGCTCACTTTCAATCTGAAGGCTTGAGACAACTTTCCATATACATAAATATACTGTATAACCATATACATGCGTATATATATTTTATTATATATATATATCTTTGTCTCTTCAGGAAACTGGCACTTGAGTTCCGCTGGGTGCAGCATTTTGGTGCATGATGGTCCATCTTCCAAACATGGCATCTGTCTATATATATATGATTATATGAAGAGACTCTTCTAGATACTAGCTGTAGAACAAACGGTCGTAGGTGCACCTCCATCTAGATCCGCCCAGATTCGGTGCCTCCTTCTCCTGTCCCTGAAATCTGTCCACAGATTCCACCTCAAGGCCACTGCGGAACCTCAGTGGCGCAGGTCTGGACAGAGCGTGTTTTATGACATGTCATGACATGTACAGGATCATGGTGTCCATTCTGAAGAACTCTCATGTCATGTCCCATTCGCTTCGTGGCATCAAAGCTGTCTCTGAAGGCTACAGCTACTTCTATGCAAGGTTCGGACTGCAACACTGCCAGTGTTGGAAGGGCTGATTCGCCGGCAACCGAAAGTGTTGGAACAAGTAAACCAAACACCCCGTGGGTTTACACATGATGCTCAGGCCAGCTGAGATTGGACAGGAAAAAGACCTTCTATCAAAACAGGCAAGTGATGGAAACCTGAATGAAGGGCATTAACATCGTATCTGGCCATTGGTGACCTTTCAGGGGAGAATGGTGTTTTTCAAGAGCTTCATTCGTGTCTTGTTGAGAGAAAAACAGTTTAACATGGGGGATCCTACCTTAGGCCAAAGGGTTGTTCCGACCCACATCTGAGTGCTCGGAATAACTATACAGACTGGTTAATCATGTGCTGCAACACAAAAAAGGTCAAAATAAAACCAGCACGATTCTTTCCGTATCCTTCTTCCTTCCCTGCCCTGTGCCCATGAGCAGTCCAAGTGGCTTCTGAAGGCCAGGTCGCTCATTGATGAGCTTCTTCAATAGCCTCACTTGTCCCTTGTATGGCGTCCTCAGTCTCCGCAGCAGGCGTAAGAAAACGCGCCGCCGCAAACATGTTCCCACATCAGCGGCTGAAGACTAGTAAGGAAACCCTAGCATTCTCCGGTATGATGTATTAACACTATTGTGACATATCATGGACTTCCCGCAGAATGAACAACTCTCATTCGACTTGGTCCTTATGTCGGCCACAGGATGCAAACGGCGTGGAACGTTTCATGACCGACTTCCGGGGCCCTTCAGGCAGACGAGAGACACAATACCCACATCCTCGGGGCCGATCTTACCATTTTTCGTGACCTCCAAGAGAGCCCACATGGTCTTTTCAGCCTTGCGGACAGGTGGCAAGTTTAGACATATGAAAAACAGGATGGTCCTGGGAGATCCTTGAAGCTTAAATCGGCACAGCTTTAGAGATGAAACAAGCAGGTTGCCTGCTGGTCACATGTCGACATGGATGATGGAATCATGGGTTGCTTCCGGTTGCTTCTCTCAGGCTTTATATAACTTTACGAATGCAAAACGACCCTAAGAAGAGCGCAACAAAAAGAAGTTGACAACAAAATAGCTTAGCAGTCTGAAGAAGAAGACAGCAAATTGGTTAATTTGATTTCTTCTTTCGCTCTCTCCGAACGGAACGCTCCCGGTGACGCGCCCACGGCGTTCCCCAGGACCTCTGCAGGATTGATGTACGAGGAGCCATGTCCTGTGGAGCCCGCTGAGCTGGAGCGGAGGGACCTCGTGGCTGAGCTTATTCTTCTATGGAATGGGGAGCATCAGACTCAGCACCTGTGCATCCAGCGGTCATTCTTCTCATCAACCAGCAACCTTTGCATTTCAAGCATCATCCCCTGCCAAGCTTTACATCGTTGGACGCAGCAACATCTGAACGGAAGCCTATCTGAAAAGGATGCGCGTGAAGAGTCCGTGAAATTGAATCAACCAGCAACCAGAAAATTCCAAGCGGATTCCAATCCGACCAAGTCCTTCACGCTTCTCTTCACACTTCTCCAGGTTAATGAAGGCCACGGGCATATGCCTGGGGCATTGTCGTTCTGAAAGGCACGAGCGACATGGGAAAACAGAATCAAACCAGGCCGGGATGTTTGGTCTGTTCATGTGAGTTGCTGCTACTTGTTCTGTTGGCACAAGTGCAGCCAAAAAATACCTCAAACACATTCAAACACAAGGTAAAACACCTTTGAGGGAAGGGTTCAACATGGTGGTTTGGGCTCCCACGAATCATGTCGCTCGCATGGGTCAGTAGGTTTCCAAGACTCGGTTTGCCTGGAGAAGTGAGCCTGGTCCACACATCAAAGCACCCAACCCTGCAGTTTATGCTGGTTCTGTACATGGTAAGTAGCAAACAACTATTCCTATTCCAAAATGTGCTGATATCTCTTAAACTAGTGCTATTCCTTTGGGGTCTTCCCTCCTTTTTTGTCCGAGAGCAACCCGGCCAGAAATGACCCGCAAAAGTCTCACGTATTCAAACACTGTATATTAGAGAGAGATTAGATGACCATCGAACATCCACCCACCACCCGCAGTCATCCCCAGTCATCCCGCAGTCACCCCGCGCCTCTGTGGCCAGGGAAAACCCTCCGGCGGCTTCCGGTGGATGTGAGACACGCCATTTTGCAGCCGACCGTTGTAGAAGGCCGCCTGGAAGGAGGCCAAAACTGTGGGATGGAGACAGACATGGAGCAGACAGACATGCTAGTATGTAGTATCCATATGGTACTCATCTCAAGTAAATGGAATATCATTAACACGCATCAACACCTATAATTATATGTAATATATAGCGTGTATATATAGAAATCAACAAAAAAGTGCAGGTGCTGGTATATATCATGTATTTTTCCAATGCAGTGTATACACTATTCTTGGACCGCTCTAGAGTTTCCTTTCTTTATTTCTTTCTTTCTTTCCTTCCTTTCTTTCTCTCCCTCTCTCTCTCTCTTTCTCTAAAACACCTCCCTGTCGTGCCCGCCTTCTTAACAAAGTTCAACACACACGTCTCCCTGCCACCCTTCCAACAAACCACCGCTCGACCTGCCGACCAGTCCCACGACCCCTTGTGCTCGAGGCGCCGAGGCGAATTCGGCCACGAGGGGATGCATACGGTATTGCGTGTCCAAAAGGCACGGCCTGGCGGATGGGGCGGGATGGCGGACGCTACGTTCGGGGCTCCTGGCCGTACTACTAGGAACCAGAAACTAATAGAAACAATAAATAGATAGAACTAAAATTAACATGGCGCATTCGTAGAGGCACCATTGTGTGTCCAGCTACACTCATCATCGATGAACAAGTCATGGCAGAACCACTCTCCAAGTCTCTTTGTATTGTGTTGCTATGCTATACCTGACGTATCTCTAGATCAATACACATACATCGTTTGTTAAACCTCAAGTCTGAATATTGCACACACTGGGAGTTAGTTTTGTAGACTCTGACTGCTCAATGCGGTTCTACGTACGACAAAAAAACGGTGGTCGTTTGGGACACTCCCTACTGGGCAAAATGTGAATCTCCCAGCAGTGAAGCACTCATCAAATCGCTAAGCCATGGAAACTGTATACGGGACTTATATGGGCTTATCAAATCCCAATGCTGATTGAGCGCCCAAGTTTGGGCAAAAAAACAAACCAAATGGTGAGGGGTTTCATGATGCATGATTGATGTTCATTTTCTTCGATCACACCACCAGGGGACATCAACTCCATTTGGAGTGCTTTGCCCCAGTGTGGTTTTCACCGGTGCCGCACTCTCCGTTCTTTGCCACACCGACTCCCTCAGGTTCACCTGGACAATCATTAATGGTCAAAACCAGTTTCCACCTGTTCTACCATTCAGTGCGGTGTCCCCAATGTTGGACTGCCAGCCTTCCAGCCTCCGTCGTCGGCTTTCCCCCTAAACCCGTCCCCGGCCTAACCCCTTGTGTGACCAGACGCGTGAACAAGGACTCCTCGGTGCGGCATGGTGCACTGGGATCTATTTGCACACGGTACTCAAACTGGGAAGAATTTGAACACGTAATAACACGTATTATTGCAGCGCATTCTTCTTCCTTCTCTCACGTCTGATTTAATAAAAAACACATGAAACAAGACACACACACTTAAAATGAAGCTCGATAAGAGAGTCTTTCAGTGAATCTCCGGCGATGCGTGAATCGCCTGTAACACTGCGTGGATGCCCGTCAATGCAAAACACGGCGTCGGACCGAGAGCGGGAGAGCGTTGTCTTCACTTATTGAAAAGGAAGAAGAAGCCCGGACTGAAACCAAGGTACACAGAGCTGATCAGGCTCTGCTTCCAGCACAAGTGGGTTAGCTTGGTTGGGTGCAGTCTCCACTGTGCGCTGCACCACCCAGCTGATTGACTGGTGCATGAAACTAATGACCGTAAAATTACACAATATTAAACAATATTAACAATTTTAATATTTAATGCAAAGTAGTGGCAACCGACAAGATGCAACACATGAATCGGCCCTGAAGATGGGTGTGACACACCACCACCACCAACAACAACAACAACAACAGCAACAACAAGAACAAGAACAAGAACCAACAGCAACAACAACAACGACGACAACAACAACAACAACGACAAGATGGGTCGGACCAAGCAAAAGAAGGAGGCCCTTGCCATCGAGACTCCCCCAGGTTCTCCGTCTCCGCAACATCCGAGAGCACCTGAGAAGACCGGTCGGTGTTTTTTCGGTGCAGTGCCGACCGTGTCGGTGGCATGGTGCCATGGTTTAAGGGAAACATCTACAGGACACCCATATAGCTGGTGTATAGCTGTGTTTATTTTTTCCGGGTTTCTCACCCCACAAGCTGTGTGTTATCTGTTTTTTTGTTTTTTCTGTAGATGATTGATGATTCCTTTCAAAGCACTTCTGGGGAGAGAATTCTTTCAAACCGGCCTGATGAAGGGATTCTAAGAAGCGGCAGTTCTTCCCTCCAAACAACATGTTCACTGGCAGTTCACTCAAGAGGCCAAAGGCCGGAAGAAACAACATGTTCTTTTGGCAGTTCTTCCCTCTGACAAAATATCCATGGCCTCCAGAAATGGTGACCATGGATATGAAACATGTGAACCGACCCTCAAACAGTGATGAAAACTGTGTCGTATCTATTCTACCTATTTGAGTTCCATTATATCATTATCCCATAGCCAGGTTGACATCAAGCACACCCCAAACAAGATTCACTAAAAAATACAAGAATCATCAAGGTTCCTTGTGAGCTGAACTTGCGCGGCTGTCACTCAACTCAACCAGAACATTTCACAACTGCCTACCCAGAAAGAAATGCTGACAAAACATACAGCAACACCCAGCCATGGTACAAAACATAAATCAATCAAAACATATGAAAAAGGATGAATAAACAAATAACAACAACTAGGGAAACAACATCATATTCTATATGTTGTAAACTTTGTAAACCACATGGCATGTTTTGGAATATTGTGATTGACTATATCAATATTCAAATCCTTTTCAGGCAGTGCAGCACACACTCTGAATACAACTTGTTCCAAGACACAGTGGGAGGCAACTGACACTGGTCACCGATGAGAATCGCCTGCTGGCATCCCCGGGCAATAGGAACCTTGGAAGCCCATCGGACCCAGCAGCCCAGCGGCGATCCACGACCGGTCCAGCCCGTGGGCCTTGAGAGTTTTGTCTGTTCGCTCCAGGTCTGATGCGAAAGCCAGCGGTGTTCGCTCCATGGTGTTCGCTTGGTTTCAATGGGACGGCTGTTCAGTTCGGTCCCAAGCATGTCCATTGATCGGTCCTCGCCTCTCCATTGCATGTAGGTGGTACTCCCTGGAAACCACCCCATCAAACCAATTGGCAACGGGGGGTCCCCCAAACCGCCGTGGACCCCAAAACTCGCACTAACTGGCCCAGTGACCAGGGCTGCAGTTTCTGCAGCCTGCGTACACTCATCCACGATGACTGTGGGAAAACGCACCTGGACCAGGAGTACGCCGGGATTAGTGCGAAAAGGAAGCAAAAGGGAGCTTGTATCTGTTGGACCCGCAGCAACCTATATTGCTAGGGCTCCAACCATATCCTCAGCAGGTGGTTAATCCCCCCAAACCCACCCTAACCACCTTCTCAGGAGGTAGTTGGAGCCCTAGGGCATATACCAGGACCCTCCTGGCCAGGCTGTTTGGAGATCCTGACAGGTGGTTTTCACATGGGCGCAGTCTTCGAAGCCCTGGCAGTCTGAGGTCGAAGCTGTCTACGGAACCCATCACCACCGGTACATTTGGATTCTGAAACATCTACTCTACTCCCTGGAAGATTAACAGGGAACCTGAAAACCACTGGTTTGTGGAGGAAGCTAGTCTTCCAAACGTCCAATTATCAGGTTTCATGTTGATCTTCCCGGGCATAATTCATTGAAATTCCCATGTCAAATCTTTGACATCTAAATAGGGCAAGATTCTTTGGGATGTTGTTTCCGTATTGGCTCATACCCCAGTCAGGAGCAAGAATCCTCTTGACTCCACCTCAACCACTGAGTTGATTAGGACATGGATACCTCGAGCAGCTGTTGCGTGTTTTCTGTGTTTTTTTAGTTCAACAAAATCAATAGGATCCAACTTGGAAGGCACAGATACAGTCTCAACACAAACCAATAGACAACCTATTCCTAGATCAAGCCAAGGCTAGTGATGATCTTCACCATCTTGCCTTGGCTCCCTTGTCTTGGTTTAAGAGTGAGTGACCAATTTAACTGAAGCTCTGCATCATACCAACAATTGAAGTTGATAAGGTCTCCTGCGCAGGCTTCCCCATCTTCATTGCCCGCTTGCAGTATCAAAAGGCCCGCCTTGTCCAGGGTGGTGCCAGAGGCTCCGATACAGGTGGCGCACACGACCTCCGCCTTCTTGAGGTCCTCCGCACATCCAACAATGGATTGCAGGGGACAAAGGGTCTGGGCATTCGAGTGTGTATCCAATGTGTATCCTAGCTCTCGGTTCCTTGCCAAAGTTCCAAACAATCACATTCCAAATCTATTTCAGGCTCCACCTGCACATCTCTTCCTCCAACACCCCCCTGACCAACTGACTCCACACCCAAAATCCCTTGACAGCATCATCTGCTCGCGCTGCTCCTTCCAGCGCCCATCTAAAGCATAGCTCTTAACATCTTCCCGGATGGCTTCCGGTCGTCCCACCCGGACGATGTTCACCCCCGTCTTGCCGATGCCCTGCAGGCGGGCTTGGCTCACGCTCGCACATCAAATGCGCGGGAGCAAAAGCGTTCTGGTCCATTGGTAGGGAGTGAGGGAAGGTGAGGAAAGGGTGGAGGCCACAAGGCCTACATATTAAATGTACAGTTGTTTCAGAGTATATATGGCACAAACCCGAAGATGTCTTTTAGATGGAGATCCAAGTAAACCACCTTTGGGGGATTGTGCCATTTTATTCTGAAACCACCATATATTGTATGCTCTGATTGGGGTTGCTGCTCACGGTCAAACAGATTCCAAAGCCTCCTCACGCCAACAATGAACACCACCCATTATGTAGAGGATAAATATGACGATATGATACGGTACTAGCTGCAAGACCACTGCCCACTGCTGCTTGAGGGATCCAGGACTGTTCATCTCAATGTCGCCTTCACCAGGTTGTCCACAGCAGTATTGCTGTCAGCAGTAACGAGGATTGGCAGGTCCACAAGGCCATACCTGGGCAGCGACCGAGGGCCTCGGAACTGCCTGGAGCTCCATCCTCCTTCCCTCCTTCATGCAGCACTCAGCGAGTTCATCACAGCTCCTTAACCACCAGCTGCTGTCCTTTACAAATTCAAAGTCTTCGGTCCGTGGAGGTGGGCGAGTCGCCGGGAAAACAGGTCAGATCTGCCCAACGTCTAGCGCATGAGTCTATCTGATAAGTCTCTCCACCAAAAGCTAAAAGTCTTCAATTTGGTCTCGACACAAATGCCATACATTGCCATACATCTGGCAACTTTGTTCAACTGCCATTACAACAACGGCTGCTCATGATCCACTTTGCTCTTTTACTCATGTGTTTGACTTAGGATTTGAGTCACGGCTTGTTTGGATGGGAACTATGGCACCTGCCCTTGGATGTCAGAGATTTGGTGAATACAGCCAAGGACATGTATGGATCTGTCTAGCAAAACTTCATTCGAAGACCTTAGCTTCAAGTTGGCCAAAGATCTCAGGCCTGTGCTGACGGTGTTCCTCACCATCCATCATCTACCCGAAACAATTGAGAAAAAATGGAAGCGGAACGCATGGGCCCTGAAAATCAGGAAATCCGAAGACCAAACAGAGTATTGTCCACTTCCATGTTTGTGTGTATTTTAATAGGGAGACCCCTGGCCCAATGGCAAGACTGGTCTACATTCCTTCTTCGGGGTCGGAACGCCTGGGAGGTCTCGGGAGTTTACTACACACCCATGTTTGTTGAAGGGCTAATTGTTATTAGTAGCGATGGCCTCCAACCTAATAGCAGTGGCCTCCAAGCTAAAAGCGATGGCCTCCAACCTCATAGCAGTGGCCTCCAAGCCTCCAACCTAATAGCAGTGGCCTCCAAGCGAATAGCGATGGCCTCCAACCTCATAGCAGTGGCCTTCAACCTTAGCGATGGCCTCCAACCTAATAGCAGTGGCCTGCAACCTAATAGCAATGGCCTCCAACCTAATAGCAGTGGCCTCAAAGCTAATAGCGATGGTCTCCAACCTAATAGCAGTGGCCTCCAAGCTAATAGTGATGGCCTCCA